AGGATCGTAGTCGACATTGTCTGGAATGTAATGCCGGGAGCCTGCAGCCAGCATCTTTTTTTGCATATCGATGACCAGGGGGTCATCTGCCCGCATGTCGGGTTTAGTTATGATATTCTTTGTTACCATAACCCCTTTGTTATCCTTCCCACTAAAGGTTAATTGGCGAAGCTTTCCAGCATCGATTATATGTTTCACAGTTGCTTTGATCGTACGAAGGTCGGGGGTTTCTTTGTACTTGGTCTTCCTCCATGCAGTCGCGAACGGGTACCAGATCTCAGTTCCCATGGGGAATGCTCCGCCAGCTTTTTCGACGATGTCCAAAATAATCTTTCGCCGTATGAAACCGACAGAACCTTTCTTTTCCTTCACATTTTCTCTCGCTCTGCTGCCCTCACCCAGCGTTTCCGTATCTGGACGCTCCAAGGGGTTGGCGTTGCCTTCTTGGCGGTCTACAACAGCCCCAGATGCCGGTGTTTGGTCCACTGCAACCCCGTCTGTCGGCGCCGTGTTGCATTCCTCTGTCTCCATTGGTGCCGATCCATTCAAGTCATTAACAGGAGCATGATCCGTTGTAAGGTTGTCTTTAGCGCCTGTGGCGTCTTTATTTGCCTCATTTCTGACTACTTCGCGAGGCTTCTTGGACGACGGTACCTCTAGGGCCTGTGTCGCATGAACCTTGCTCTCTCTTAAACTCCTCTCGGTTACAACCTCTTGGCTATTTTGGTTGGGTGACTCAGCCCTCTTCCGTTTCAATGGCTTCCCTTGGGTTTTATCATCATTGTCAACATCAGGGCTATCCTGTCTTGAGTCTTCAGCTGGAACGGCCGCAGGATTTCTGATACCAATCATAGGAACACTATTAGCCTTAGTGGTAAAGTCCGTAATGCGTCTCTGTTTTGGATTGCGCATAGTTGCTGGGCTAGATTCAAGTTTAGATGCGGGTTGCCTTGAGCGTCTTTTAGTGCCTCGGGAAGGTGTGGCATCTATATCTTCAGGAGCAGCATCTAAGATCCTACTTGCCGTGGCAGGTGTGGGAATGGGTGTGGGAACAGGTGTGTCTTCGACATTTTCTTCAACAGTCTCTTCGACAGTCTGTTCCCGAGAAGGCTGCTGTGATCCGCCGTCTTGGTCGCCTCCTTCAGCTTCTTCCATAAACCAGGGAAAAGACGATAGCTTCGAGGACTTGAAGACAGCAATTCGACTGATCCTTGGACGACCTTGTCTTTTGCCAGTAGGTCTTCGCCTTCCACGTGGTGTGACATAAACTCCAGAATGTGGACGTTGAATCAGCAGCGCGTTGTACTCTGTCCAAGTCTCATCTAAACCAAGAGCTCTAAGCTTCTCGATCTCAGACATTCCTTGGAACTTTGCAGACTCATCCCTTGGTACTTTCCGGCGTTTGACAGTCGAGATAGAACTGCCTGGGGTTTTTTCACCCATCTCCGAATCTGATACATCGAGGCGTGGTCTTTTCGGTCTGCTCGGAGTTACTATGTCAGAACCTGTAGCAAGCCTTCTACTTCCCGCAGGCGCCTTGGTTTGCCCACAGTAGAGTGCTAGGAATCGTCAGTGCTGTGGATAACATCAAGGTTCCTCGGACTTGGAATAACCCACCGTATGTTCCATCTTTAAGTCGGATTGCTGCGGCATCAGTGTTGGTGACATTGTAGCTTGACGGGTCCACTGCAACTATGCATTCCAAAAGAGAAACATCGCCATTTTTCAGGAGCTCCTTTGCAGGTACAGCCACAGGCAGTCCATACTTATCCAGCTCAGGCTGTGCGTCAACAGGCGGTGCGCGAATCTTGTCCACCTTCGGATTTTTCGGGGTAAACTCAACAGCTTCCCAGGCTGACTCGCCCGACTCAACAAGCTTTGCAAAGTTTGTTGCGGTGAAATGGTTATACTGAGTTATAGTGCGGTTTAGTACCGTGTCTCGTACAATAGCCATATGGCGTAGATGCAATGGTTGTGACAGCTGCCAACATTCTACCAGACGACTCATTGTGTTCTCCAGTGGCCGACGGTAGAAACCACCAAAGCATTTTCTGATGATTTGCTGGTAGGTAAGTCAGATTACATTCCTTGAATGATGACAGGTAGCCATTTTTTGTCTCTTTTAATCTAACGCACCTGATTCATAATTCCGTCAGTCCCCGCATTTTCGACAACGTCAAGGATCAGGTTGTGGATAGTCTGGTCTGGAGACCACACAGGAAGAATGCGACCTGCTTCATCTGTATCCTCCTCTCGTTTCATCACATTGAGCGTTTCACCATTATTTAGCAAAGGAGATTCCCTTGTCGCATCATTCGGGTCTACGTCTTCATCCAGTTCCGCATTATCATCCTGCTCCAGATTGGTTGAGATGCCTCGACTAAATTCATGGAACAACTCCAAATCCTTTTCGGTCGGTTCTCGTATAAGCTTCACGCAAGCAAAATAATGTTTATCATTCTCAGAAAACTGCGACATGGCCTTGACACGCATTAAGACGCCTATGCGTTCAAATTTCCGCAGAGCACGAGAGAGGATACGCCACCGCCATCTATCCGCGAAGCCGAGAATTTTCTTGAGATCAACCCGGGAAATGATCTCATGCTCCCGAAGGATACTGAAAAGCTGCTTGCTGAATTCCTTATAGTCGATCACTTGTGGTTGGCCCGAGGATTGGTCTTTTGTGGTTTCCGCAGATGATTGCTCTGCTTGCATAAATTTACGTAGGGTGCAAAGACTAGTTCGGGTTGATTTGATCTGGATAGCCCTCTTCTCAATGTAGCCTTTTTGCTGCAGTTGGTCAGTTCGCTTGGGGACTGAGCGCTTGTCTTGGCCGCTCAGTTTCACCAATTCCGTCTGAGCAATACCATTCGACTTGCGCGATGCGATGATAGATAGTAGAGCGAATTCAGTGGCAAGAAGTTTGTTTTCGTCTGGCTCATGGCCTGTAATGGCAAGCCATGTCCTCTCCTTCGAGACAAAAACACGAATTGGGCTTTGGGCAGTGTGCTCAGAGCTGGATGCATCATTAACACGACGTTCTACATCACTAAAACTCAGAGCATTCCATTCTCTATTTTCACCAATAGAAACTTCAGGGTTTCTTGCTAGCCACGACCAGACTTTTTCCTGAAATTGCCGGTCAACGACATGGCTGCGGGTGGATGCATCTTGTGCAGCCTTGGCATAGAAAGTATTGATGAACGTCAAGACATCGGAAGGAGAAGCGCCTGGAGTACGTTAGTCTCCTTATACTTTTTATGGTACATCCAATTGTCTTATTGAAAATTTTTGAAACAAAAAGAGAGTTTTGATCACAGCGCCAGAAGAAGCAGGATGCAGGGATTTGGATATCAAATCGCCAAAATTAGAGCCGGTGCTGCAGTAGTGGACCCTCATAACAAGAACACAAAAGACAGCGAACTGACCTTGATCACCGCAGAGAGCAATCTCTGCGAGGAGAAAATCAATCAACTCTCGTAGACTAGGGGCCATCCTATTTACATGGCTGAATTGCGGCCAATAGGTAAGGGAACGGGGGGAGTAAAAAAATTTGACGTGTTCCCATTGATCTCAACTCATCACCTGGGGGATAATCTCTCCGTCGCAAAAAGAAAATTGACAAGCCTTCGATCCACGTTGAGCGCGAGATTCGAACCATCGCCGTAGAGTGAAAAATTATGTGCAGCAAATTGGTGGGGGTGGCGGGTCTCCCGGCACGTGATGTCTGCCATGGTTCTCAGGCATCGAATGAAGGTCTTGAGTCTCAGTGGCATGATTCGTTCAATCACAAATAGGGTTAAACTACCACTAGTAGTATGGTACCTAGCACTCGCTTTGAATTACTTGAAATCCTTAGCTTCCAGGTCCTTCGTGCTTTGATTTGAAGGAACCGTTCAGGATACGCAATCTTACTTGAATTTGCTGCACAAGTTATACTATCATAATTAGTCATACAGCACTCGATTTCTCGGCATAACGCACCTAATGCATCATCCAAAGGGATCGTCGCTGATCGGCCGGCTAGACCGGGTTCGCCTTTTACTCTTTCCAGCTTTTACCTGAAATTCTGCAGGACAACCAAGTAAACCGAGAAGCAAAGAATTTTGGGATATTGCTTCGAGAGAATAGTAATAATTGATTTTAGTCTAATACATCGATTCATCTGAATAACGAAGCGATCAAGTCTCGAACTCAGGTACACACATTGAGGTATGTAGTAGATACGTAGATACAGTACTCCATACTACTAGTCGTACTGCGTAGTACTTTGTAGCTGTGCTTCGCTGCCATCGGAAGTTCGGCGACAGCCAACCGCCGATAGCAACAAACGGAGCCAATAATATGCAAAACCTTTCTTCGAGTTTTTGATCCTACGGAAGGTGAAACTTTACGTACTCCGAAAATCAGGCAGGTGTGGACTGTAAGGTATTCATGGTTATTTTCGGAGGGGAAGATAATCAAGAATGCTGCTGTTGTTGTTGTTGTTGCTGCTGGTGTTGTTCCTCGGCATACCGTCTTGGACATTTAATTAACTAGTTATTGATCTAAACATACACTTTGCAATCTTGAAAGATGTCAAATGACATCACGGGGTCCGGTTACGTCAGGCACCTTGTTTGTTCAACCCAGAAAAGTCTAATACTTTACAGCCAGCCCAAAAAAAAAAAAAGAAAAGAAAAGAAAAAAAATACTCCATTTGTTTCCGGTCCTTTTGCATCTTTCTCGACCTAGAACAATCTTCTCCCGTCTACCGTCCGGTGCACTCAATGAATTGGTTGCAGCCCACATAAAACTATCACCAGTCCCAACGTGCCTTGACAGCGGCAATAACTCAGCCCCGTTCTCGCCACTCACACTCGGATTATTTCTACCATTCTTCGATCACACCATGAATCTCGTTGCATGACAATCTCCCTTCCATTGATCTCCTATCAGCAACAATACTGTCGAACCCCAGTTAATCTCCGCATATCCTCACCATCGCTAGAGCTATAGCGATGGAAGAAGGAACCGCCAGCACCAACCCTTTGGAACCTCCGCCGCTCCCTTACTCATTACGGACACGAAAGAAGTCAATCGCGATTTTTTGGATATTATTCGTTATTGATGCCCTCGCTCAACCCATAGCGCTTTACTTTGGTCTGTGGTATGGCACTAACCTGTCGCATAACTTGGGTATGTTCCTGGCATAGTCTTCGGTGTATACGCAGGCATGACATACGTGCTAACCGATCCGTGCAATTAGTCTTTACCATTGTGACAGCTTCATTGGGAGGAATTTCTGTATTTGAATACTTCTACCGGCTCTATAACTTGTTCCGAAAGGATTCTCGCGCTCGACCGTTGAACGCACGAAAATCATGGGTAGGCTTGATCAAGACGCCCCGAGGGTAGAATATATTGGGAACTGACGTTCCATTGCAGCTGGATTTCTTCCATATCAATTTCACCATCGTCTGGCTGATCCTCGCCGTTGAACTCATCGTGTAAGTTTCGGAAGTATTCATTGTTCTGGATAGTTGCTGTGTTATATACTAACAAGAGGCCAGGGGAACCGTCCAGCCGGAACCCTATGGTAACATACCCTACCGTTCATTGCTCTCTCCCATACTTATAATTCTATAGTGCGACTAGTAGCCATGGTTCTCCCAAGCGTCATGTTCTACTTCGGTGGTGTCTACTTGGCCCTCGATATTCTCCGTGTGCTAGGTTTCAAGGCTCCTTTCCGAATTTCCTCGACCCCAAAGGGCTCTACAATGCCCACAGCTTTATATGTCATGATCGAAGATGTGGTAGCAGTGGATGGGGGCGGGGGCCAGAAGTTCCGGTATGCCCTTCGAGTCCGGTATCTTTCAAGCCCATACTTCCGCCGTATGCTCTTTCAAATGAACTGTTTCTGGGCCGGGGGCTCCATTATTTTTGCCGCCGCCATCACTGCAATTGTTTTTACGACACCAAGACCTGTTGCATACACGGTAAACCGCCCATCCCGTTTTTGATGATCGATTACATGGAAAGCTGACGGGTTCGTTCTTCATAGCTTGGGTGGTCCTTGCCGTTCGCTTGGGCCGGCGTCTGGACGCTAATTACCATCCCGTGGGTCCAAAGTGATCTTCGTCGTGAGAAGAAGGCATGGGCTGAAAACCGCGGTCAAGGAGGTATTCCATACACGGATGATATTAGCGCGCCGGCTGATCGGACTCGCCTCGAGTCAATACACGAACATTTATGGCCTTGGGGCCGCGAGAAAAACAAGGAAAAGCCCTCTACACAATCTACCCCGTCTGACGGCCATTCAAACGTATGATTCAATGTTTTGCATGACAGAAAGGCGCAGGTTGTGATCAATCTTTCCTTTATCATCCATCCAGTTGTCTTTGCGCGCTTGCAAACTTCGGGGGGTTAACAAGCACGCCTTTACTTGACCCCAGCAGTTCATTGGAAAATCAGGTTGGTCCAACCACGCCATGAACCCTGATATCTCAACGGAAGTTGTGACAATGATCCAGCTGTGGACAGCAAGGGTAACGACGATATGCTTAAAATCCACGTGTATTCAATGTATTGTATATAGATACCCTAGCTCTAATGTATTTAGGTCAATGTATATTTTTGCCCAATATTTGCATCCCGTTGTTAGTGAGGCTGCTAGTCAAGCTTGAAATGACCTTTCAGATGCCGTCGTATAATGATCAAGGGGTTAGTCACATCGACTGTCAGCCGTATCCAAAAGCGACGGACGGTTCCGTTGGACATGACGACGCGGCGGATGGCGCATGAGCTTGGCATTAGCAAATAGGGATGCCAGGCCAGGAACTAGGAATACCAGACATCACACTGGTTCGCTTGCAACCCCGTTGGGTATATCCAGACACTCCGGTATCTAACTCCTGAGGTATGAAGGCGCGTGACAATGTTGGAAAGTGAGTTCAACTCTTCGGCCGCAGAGCATAGAACCTCACAGGAAGCAGCTTGAAATTCTTCGGGAATCCGAGCTGCAATTCGGATGTGACAAGGATCAATCCAGCCTGCTTGAAGATTTCTTTAAACTTTTCATCCGTCCTCGTCACGCTACTGTCCTCGTCATCATACATATCATTTCCATTGAGATCAGTCGACTGGTTCTCCTTGACAACCACGATTCCCGTATCGGTCAAAGACTCACGACACCGCACAAAGTACTCAACCAACTGCACGTCGGTTAAATGTCCCACGCAGAATTGAGTCCAGATCAGGTCGTATTTCTTCTCCGGGTACCACCCCTCCAAACCGACGGTGTAAATATCGCCCACCACACCAGATCGCTTCAGAGCGCTGTCGTGTATAACCTGGGTGAATTTCTCGACCGGCTCGACTGCGTCCACGGTTTCGCAGACATCCTTGAGGAACCCCTCCGTGACGCGCCCCACCCCCGCACCGCAGTCAGCTCCCAGCTTCAATTTCCCTTCGGTGGTGCAACCGGGCACCAATCGTCGGACCTTGGAAAGAAAACTTTTCGAGCCGCGTAGATCAATGCGTGTATACCAGGGGTAGCTCCCCAGCATGCCCAGCATGGTGTTGGAGTTGGCAGCGACGCTGTTCCAGTATCGGATAGATGCGGCGTGGTCGATCTTAGAATCTGGGGCTGCCATTGCGGGGTTCTCCGGGTTGGCCTCGCCAGGCCCCGATGCGACTGGCTCAGAAGCCATCGCCACGACTAGAACTAGTGGCTGGGTGAGTTCCTGTGTCGTGAATTGTAGCTTTTCCGTCCCCTTGGAGATTTTTGTGATGAGAAATCACGGAATTTCCGCCAGATTATGTAAGCCTTTTCCGGTCTATCGCACACTCCGATTGGCCAGAGTCGAGACAGTTACTGTTAGCTGGGTGCATTCGCGACGACTCAACCTAGGCATATCAACATTCCCAGGCAGTAGAAGAATCGGCAGCAGAGATGGACGAATTGCCGGGTCAAGAACATCTCGCCTTCACCAAATGGGCCATCGAGAAGGGAATCGAGATCAACGGCATAGCGCCAGCTCGATTCCCCGGCCGCCGGTTAGGAATGATTGCAACCAAGACCATAGAAGTGAGTACGTCAACAAGATACAACCGTACAACGTCGCTACAATGATTGACCAGCCATCACGCGAAAGGAGGGAGAGATCATGCTCACTGTCCCACAAACGGCAATGCTATCCATTGACTCCATCCCGTCTTCATTCGTGGATCTCTTCCCAGAGGGCGCATCCGTGCACGGCATCCTAGCCGCATATCTCACGCACGGGGACGCCAAAGCCCTGAAAGAGATAGACGCATGGCGCAACGTCTGGCCAAACTGGCAGGAGCTCGAAGATAGCACACCTATACTATGGCCGACTCATCTGCGACGGTCTAATTCTGCCTTCGAAGACGAGGACAATTCCTCCACACCCAGTCTGCTCCCGCCCTCTGTATCTGGGCTATGGAATTCTTTCGAAAAGGTACCCGTAGACATCAACTACGACACCCGGTATCAGAACATGCTGGCGCAAGAGGAAAAGCGACTCAGACACGCCTGGGAACAGGTTCTCTCCGTGTTCCCCAAAACAGAGTGGAAGACGTTCGCATATTACTGGCTCATCATCAACTCAAGAAGCTTCTACTATATCTCCCCCGGAAAGGGCGAACCGGAGGATTGGAACGACGCCATCGCGATGGTCCCTTATGCTGATTATTTCAATCACGAGGATAACGCGGTTAGCCCACTCATTCTTCCCTTACCTGCCCTACCTAACAGATGAAAAGGCATGTGAGGTCAGATTCGACCATATCGACTACACATTCCGGGCAACTAGACGATACGGTAAGTATACTGAACCAACGGTAGAAGAATAGGGCTAATCACCGCCACAGAAAAAGGCTCAGAGGTCTACATGAGCTACGGCGCCCACTCAAACGACTTCCTCTTCGTCGAATGTCAGTTCCCTCTAACCCCACCCCCATCATACACCTCTAACAAAAGAGAAACCCTGCAGACGGCTTCTTTCTCGACAAGAACGAATCCGACTCAATATACCTAGACGACATAATCTCCCAAGACCTAACAACAACCGATAAAAAAGAACTAGTCCACCAAGGGTGTTTCGGGTACGTCAACATCCCAGTAATTCTCCCCACCATCCCATTCATACTAATACAACTCCCGAAAAAGCAACTTCGAAGTCACAGAAACCGGCGTAAGCAGCGGCATCGAAACAGCCGCCTGTCTCAAATACATGTCCAAACGGGACTTCCGGATCTACATCGAGGGTCGGTCGAAACGGGCCTTCGACGCGGGGAAGTCGGCGGAGGTGATTCGGGGTTGGATTGGGGTTTATCTTGAGGAGTGTGAGAGGACGATGGAGATTATTGGGTCGATGTTGGAGAAGCTAGGTGGGTCTAGGAGACGTAGTGGTGGGGAGAAGTGGGAGAAGAGTAGGTTGGAGGTGTTGCTTTGTAGGTGGGGACAGATTAAGCAGATTTGCGAGAAGGCTACAAGTGCTGTTGGTCAGGGTAAATAGAGATATATTTGGTTACTCTTCTGATGGAACAGCTTGTGGTTGAGTTCTGTAGACAAGTTATTCGTTCAGAAGACTTGCGCTTGATGAAGGGAACATGACTTATATTCGGTGGATAATGCAGGTTTGAAGTGATATTAAATGAAGTAGCTATTGAACTGTGACATAAATTTCAATGTACAAGACTACGCTAGCATCCCTTCCAATATACCGTCTATCTATACACCAGCCTAGATATACACCCGATGCATGTATAGGTCTTGTCTCCAGTCGCTCACGGCTAAACTGGTAGAAGCCTTCCAATGCGCCCCTGCTCCCATGTAATGATAATAATAGATAAAAGGAAGGCGGAAAAGTATACACAGCAAAAGCAAAAGGAGGCTCGAGGCCATTGCTCGAGCTATACCCCAGAACAAAAACGACAGAGTAAGTACAAGAAGGTCACAATTAGCCAAGCAGGATAAAATTGACACAGTAAATCAAAAACATGTTTATAATATGAAGCCAGTGAAACAGATGACGCCTATATACGACCCATTGCAGTTAGGGTATCATGCAGCAGAAAATGGCAGGCCACGAGAGGGTGACGGAGAAAATGTAAGATAAGAAGGATAAATGGTTAGGAAAGCGAGCTTGCTTGCCGATCGGACATAGTTGTAAAGCCATAATACACGTCCTTTCTGTTGAACGATTACTTTCTGGACGGTATTAATTTGCGCCCAAAGTTACGGATCGTCATTTTGTGACTAGATCGCAGTTAGCGCAGGCAACCTACAGCTCAGTACGAATATAGCTCACCTCTCATCTGCCCCGTCCCAGCGTTTAGTTTCGGAACGGGCTATTGCAGTACCTGAAGTCACGGGCCGGGATGGAGGATTCACAACCCTGCGAGATTGCTGCACAGTTGTTAGCGAAACTCTTAGTATTATTAGAATCATTTAACACTAACCTCCCAGCGAGCATCCACGTCGACCTCACTAGTAGATCGAGCATCAGACATTAGGCCACTCTGCTCAATACTGAGCATACTGGACCCTAAGGAATTCGAACGAAGGCGTCGAGAGCTTCCGGAATGAACAGACCTCTGCGACTGTGATTCTGAGTACTCGCTGTTCGAGTCCTGGCTCGTCTGACTTTTGTCGGATATCGTGACTGCCGCACTATCAGTGTTGTGAAGCAGCTGGGCAGAGTTCGCTATATCACGATATTTCTTCTGCTGTTGTTTTGTAGGGCGATGATGTGAAAATTTATTCCCAAGTATCGCAGGTGCGTGGGATATAAGTGCCTTGATAACGTCTTTCTTCAGTCGCAAAGCCAAGTCCAAGTTGGACCATGTTTTGTTCCGATACTCCAGAATTGGCAGACGGAAGACGAAGTCGTGAATGTCCTCCAGGTTATGATCTCCTTTGCCCTTGTAGCTCAAGCAAAGTACAACGTCTCGCACCTTGACATGGGCTAGCGTCATGTAATTCGATGCGCGAGAAATCATCTGGGTTAGATCGTCGGTGGCTGCTTTGGACTTGTTTCTATTAGGTAGTTTGGCTAAGCCGAATTTCTTCCCTTTATCTTCACCGGCCCCGGCGCCCGAGCCATTTGCAAGGGTTTTGTCCGTGCCTTGTCTTGATAGTAACCGTAAACTGTCGGCCGATCTCTTAGTAGATAAACCGCCACTAGTTGACGGACGCGCTGTCTGACGAGAAGGTTCGGAGGGACCAAGCCGGTTGCTATCCTTATGAAGGGGCGTCATGGCGAGGCCTTTCAGGTGGTTAGAGCGTGCAGATCGGGGTCTAGCATCATCAGATGACGTGAACGTCGGTTGTAGCCTCAGTTCAATAGCGCCCGGCCCCTTCTGCAGGTCTTCTGTTGAGACATCCGTGTTGCTATGGGCGCTTCGAGGCGGAACCAGACTTTCTGCCTCCTCTCCATCTTCGTCGGAGTCTTCCCGTGGTTTCATGTCCTTGACCATTAAGGGCGAAAAGCCCCCGTTTTCAAACGCATTCGCCCCGACATTAGGGAATATGTACTCGAACACCTTTTGGCCAAGCTCATGTTCCAGTTGAATCTTGAGCGGGAAAAGTGACACCTCAAAATTATCCAAAACAGGGATACCAGCAACTGCTTCAAGCATGTGCCACTTGACCTTAATCATGTAATCATCTGGTGAGTCCAGAGGCTTAGCTTGATCGAGATACGGCACAATGATTTGAGGGTAGATGGCGTCCGGAAGAAGATTCAATCCATACAGTCGTTCAACTGCTACGAGATTGTGGTTAGACCCATCACTGTTGTCAGTACGATCAAATTCGGCATTTCGTAGCTGGAACTCGACCAATGGTTCGGTTTCGTCCTTCATAAGGTGCCAGACAACCTCATGGGCTGATATGTTCCAACGCAGGAGGCCATGGGCCCCAGACATTGTCGGATCAATTCTCCGCTGGGAAGTTGTTATTGCTTTCATCAAGAAGAACAACTCGTCTTCGCATTGAGCAAGGTCCTTTTCAAGCTCCATGCGATCTGCCCAGCCTTGTTTGTCGAGATATTTGGCATGGATTTGGAAATGCTCCTTGATCTCTTCCAGATGACGAATCCGAGACTGCAGTTTAAAAACCATCTCCGGTGCGCCTCTAAGATCGCTGAAGTCAGAACTGAGCATGATCCTCTCCAGGCGTTCTTCCCGGACTTTCTCCAGAGGCTCGCTGTAAAGTAGCAAATCAAGCACAATAATGTACATGGAGTAGTATTCAACCGAATCGCAGATAGCGCGGACGTGAGGAAACTCGACGCTGATTTGATCAATTCTGGATTCCTCGCTGCCGAGGCCACGCTCTTGGTCAGGTTGTCCCTTTGCCACTTCTTCGTTATACTTCAGACGAAGATTGTTATACTTGTCGTATCTCAAGCTGGCAGAAGTCTTCTGAACAATTCTTGAGAAACCGAATGGGTTCAACTCGAAATCAAACATCGCTTCGATAGTCAACCAAGGTGGCCATGCCGAGCCTGGAGAATTGCCGTACTTGTTGCCTGCGTAGAACTGCAAATGTTTCATCAAATTCTTCTGCGTTGCAACGAAGAATTGAGCACCATCCATTTCGAGGGAGAAGCGGCGCTGTACCAGACCGCTGACATCGTCAGAAACACGTTCCTTGTCCATGATTGACACGACCTTCAGCTGCATGCCCTTTGCGGCAATCAATACGACCGACTTTTGGTTCTTCTCGCTTTGGAGCTGGATCTGAGGGGCGATAAGCCGCAAGTGATAGCTATTTTGCGGTGTGAATTCCGGTGAAATATTCTCACTAGAATCATCAGACTTTGAACTGTCTTGTTTCTTGTGGTCAGGATCCTCGTGTTCGTCTGCATTTACGAAGTGTTTCGCGTCATTCAGCAGTTGCTCGATACGATCTTCCACGGTTCCATCCTCTTCGTTATCCACAAGGCCACGAATGTCGGAGGGACGTCTTGATGCGCATTTGAACAACTTGGAATACCTTCTCTGGTTCTTGCTTTGTTCGTCGACGATATCGAGGATAAATTTGACTGCCCTTCGAGACATGTAATACACAAATCCACGCCTTTGGCTCACCTGGTGACTGTAACGCAATATGATGTTCCTTAGTGAGTTGTTCCATTTTAGCTGAGTATTGTGTATTATGAAACGATTGTTGAAATTGGTCGCAAACTCATCGTGAGGTGACGAAGAAAGCCCATCCATATCCGCATCCTTGCCATCGCTACTCGAGTCTGCATCCGTCCCTACTCGGTTGGTAACATCAGCTGCGACGGTTTCGGGGCTTATTTTCGTTGAGCACAATTCTTCTCGAGCGAGTTGCCGCTCGAGACGTTGAAGTGCAGAAGCAAGGAAAGCCCGTCGCCGAGCGAGAGACTGCGCCTGCTTGACGTAATTCTCATGCTCTGTCCGTAATGAAGGGTCCTGATCAACATCCTTGGCCATGCGAAGTTCCTGCTCTCCAATTGTGCGCTCCCAGTCCTGAACCTGCGTTTCAACGTGGGCAAGGCGCTCCCTGATCAACGCCATTTGCACTCTGCGTGGTTCATTACTCTCGGACATAACACACGCATGAGTAGGCTCGTTGCCAAAAGTACTGTAGCCTGTCTCGTCCGGACCTATGTCCCCATGATCTGTCTGGCGGAAATAAGTAAATCGTGGTGTAAATGCTAAAGGCAAAATCTGCGTTCGCGGGTTCGACTCTTGAGGAAGGATCCAATCCAGCTCCACGAAATCATCCATATCGACCCAATCAAGATTGTGATCCGGGATGGTAAACCGGGAAAGATCGACGGAGGGCACAGGTTGCTGGAACGTTGAGATAATATCATTCTTGTTTTGCTCAATATCATCCAAGTTTGTCCCTTCAATGGAAGCCGAAACAGCTCTGAAGTCCGCAGCTTGCAAATCTAGCTCGGCTTGGTTAATCCGCATGGCGCTCGCCTGCGTCTGCTTGAGGCGTCCCTTTGCCAGTGTCTTAACCTGTTCACGTCTTTGGTGTACATCAAGCTTCAGACTATCCAAGCGAACCTTGATTCCTGTCGCTGTGACAACATCCTCGCCATAGTCTTCACGATCCTTATGCTTGTACATGTGAGCTACAAACAAAGGAGCGAAGAGCAGTTGATACTTTACAGTAGCAAGATGGCGGTTGAACTTCTTGCTAGTCTTGGTAATGCCGGGCCACAATGGACCTTGCCGAACAGGAAGTGACATTACCCCAGAGAAAAGAGACCACCAATTGAAAAAATGAGTGAAGAACCGTGGAGTGAGATGGACTGTGTTGTAGCTAGTAGATGATTCAACTTTGTCAACAGACCAATCCCTACTCTCTGGGGCGAGCACGGAGATTGATAGATGGATATGGTTACTCCGGAACCCACGATAAGCGTCATAGACCGCACGTTCGGATGGACTGACATATTTTGGATTCTGGAGAATAACATCATAGTGCGGCATGAATTCGAATGACCGCCTGTTTTCATCGACATTACGTTCAAAAACGAGGCCTACAACCCATTTCACTTCGCCTGACAATTTCATCACAACTTTCTTGAAGTGGGCCGCATTTTTTAGCTCGCTTGATGTCGACGTGGTTTCCAGATCCTGAGCCGTGGCCTCCGCCATGAAGCGGGCTTCGTGACTGTAGTCCGGAATAGCTAGCACATACTCCCCACTAGTAACACTCATGAACTCCTTTGGATCATCACTAGTATGGACTTCCCATTTGACATCCTTGCGCCAACACATGACGAATCCACTTCCAAAGCCGGTTACGACATACGGATCACGAGAGCCTTTCAAGCGCAAGTGAACATCTCCGTCTTCTTTCCAGAGAATCCGAAGCCGGGAATGGAAGCTCAGTCGAATCTTGTCCCAGAAGCCAACCCTGTCAGAAGGATCAATTTCGGCTTTGGTGAAACCCTCTATAATTTTCATCATGTCCTGGATGACAGGCTGGTACGACATACCCCAAGAGATGCTCGTTGGGAGACTCGTGTTGATCTCGATTGTCGGATCAGAATACGTCTTGACAGGGCTTACCGATCGCCAAACGCTTATTTCGAACGAAGGACTTTTGGAGCCGTCCGGAAGTTCGGTTGGAGGGACAAGCTCTACTTGAACTTGTCTGGACGATTTATAGTCACGATACTCTTCCGCAATGACAAAGTTGGTTCGAAGTGACCAGCTTGGAAGCCTTGGTGATTGTCCAGGGCGTAAAGCTGGTATATGCAACAAGTCCAAGGGATAATCCCTTAAGTTGACGCGGGCCTCTCCCATGTCCAACTGAAAGCTCATTGGAATGAGTAATGCATATTGCGTAGACATCGGAATACCTTTTCCAATCCTATGGAGGAATGTTGGGTAATCTTCCAAAGGAAAAAACGGTTTGTCTATGACAAGATGGATATCGCTTATTAAAGCCGCCATAAGAGCAGGTCTATTCGGGATAGAGAGCACAGTCTCCGTCTCCTCCACATCTTCAGGCGGCTCATCGGCTCCACAGAAGAGATTTCGTACTTCCTTGATCGAAGTACCCTGGAACTTCAAGGCACCGTCGATCTTCTTCTTCCAGCTTCTTGCATTGTATTCCTGGAGTCGATACCAGGCCACGTCTGCTGATACCTTTGATTCGCCCGAGAGACATGCTGCACCTTCAGTGTCATAGCGGAATTTTCTTCCCCGCCCACGCTTATTGTCATCTGAATCACTATTGCGTGGCTTCGCATCGGCACTTTTGCTTCTCTTTGACTCCCCACTAACCCTCTCACTGCGAAGGGTTCTGTGGCTCGACTTTGCACGCAATCTTGATGAGGCGCGCCGTTGATCACATTCCTTGATTTTTTGGACCTTCAACTCGTATGCCTCTTCTCTTGCCTGGCGCTGGCGTTGCTCTAGAAGGCCTGCACGATATATGCACCCTAGTTTCCATTCAAATGCATCATCCTCCATTTCGAATAAAAGTGCTTTGCTGCGCAGTGATATCCTTGGTACTTTTTTCGGTTCCTCTGGGTCTCTCGACGAGTCAAAACCGGCCGTATGGTTTTTGAATCGATGGTGAAGTTGCTTGAGGGCCTTTGCTGTGTTAATCGCGTTGTCAAAAATGCGATGCATCACCATGTGGTGCGGGACAGCCAAGCGGATAAAATCTGCCCACACATCTATCGACTTCTCTTCGGTCAGATTGACGCCCTGCTTTAGTTTGGCAGTGCGGAAATCGACTCTGACATTAGTCATACCGATAATTCGTGCCCAGACACCCTTGAGCTTAGGTGCCTCAGCGTGGAGCCGAACTAGGTGAGCTCGAACAAATGGAACGGAGAGTCGGTGGGAACCAGCTGCAAGTCCATAAATTTGGAGCATCATGGGGGGGTCTGCGGGAAGGAAAGTTTTGACCTGAACCACAGTGACTCTCACATCGGCCGTAATAAGCTCATTCCTTTGCGAGGATGGGCGAGGCGATGAAGGAGGCGAATTCCAAGGAGAAAGGGTCTGAGGTGTTGCTGTTGGCGAACGTTGCAAGAAAGCGCTCTGGATCACAGATGCGGCAACTCCTACGCAGTAATAACGATAAAGGGAATACTGTAGGTAAATACCCTTTATCACGGAATTGATGTGGAAAATAGGCCCAAGACGGTCGCTCAAGGTACTTAACGCCACCTCGAACCTAGGGAGCGAGAAGAAAGGGTCCGCCTCCAGATAATCTTCAGATTCTATTACAAATCCCTCAAAGCCACGAACATGAAGAGCAAGTCGTCTTCCATCCGCAGCACCACGTTGTGTTTGCCTTGGGGGTGATGTCGGAGGAAACCTGAAGGGTGATTCGTCGCCGATCGTAGAATGACTCGGAGTCCGTCGCCGTACGATACTCACATTAGGTTGTTCGGTCTTTTGTGCTCTATAATCTGCGGTCCACGAATGGATCTGGAGGGAAACGCCACGAGAAAGTTCTGAGACCGCTTCGTCCACACCAGCAATTTCCAGACTCAAGCTGGTAGCTTCAAATTGGAACCTGAGCAGCCAAGGGGGAACGCGCCTTAGAAGACTAGGTTTACGCTCTTCGAGTGACATTGCAACCTTTCTCTTCGGCTTGATTTGGGCTCTGAACTGTTCAATCACCTGTTGAATACCTCGATTGACCTCCCCATTGACCATGTGGGCGGAACATGTATTTAACGATCCAGAAGCCATCACGCATACCTCCGGGGATGAACTAAGAAGGACTTTCAGTTCCATATTATCGGTTGTGAGTAGATTATGTTTGACTCCCAAGGGCGTTTGGTAATACAGTTTGTGGGACGCCACCCGGGAAATAGACGATAGGGAATAGTGAACACCGCCTTCCGATGAATGAGAGGACTCTATGTCGAGTGAGATTGAAGATATAGAGCATATTAGTAGGTTGTAGTCTTCCGCAGAAACATCGGAAGCTTCAGAGATGGGCAAAACGAATCGAAGTACAGGCTCATGAACCGAGAGCTTGATACTCGCTTTAGGGAGCAACCGGGATATCAGTCGATGATTGTTTCTCTTTTTCCCACGAGGGGAGGATGTTCTATCCTGAGCCAATCCCAGGAGCCGGGAAACATGCCTTGGTTCTAAATCGATGGAAGGAGATGTTACCACAAGATTAGCGAAAAGGATATTAGTATTTCGCTCTTCCGGGTTGCATTCACTGAACGAGCTAATCGTCTTTGATGGTAGGGTTGTCTTTATGGTTGTAGTGGCCATGGGTATGTAAAGGATATTATCCGTCTCGCCGGAACTGTCGTCTAGACTGACCGAAAGAGAGATGGCAGCAAGGAGCGCTTGATGCGCGACGTCGTTCCGTTGGAAATACATCCGATGGGCGGGGCTATTCTGATCCATCCGATGCAGGTCAATGCCTATCTCATGGGATATAATGTTGAGATAGACAGAACTCTGCTTTGGCGAAGGTGGCTGTATAGCTCGCGATAATCTGAAAAAGCTCAAAGCTATCTGAATTTCATGTATTCCCCGCAATAGAGAGCTCGCAAACTCCTTTGAATCGGCAACTGTTTGGACAAGGGCGTCGTCCTGGCTTCCAGGCTTGTCCAATTCCTCCACAAAGTCTGCAAACGACACTTCATCGTCTGCTTCACTCTTCGAGGCTTCCGAGAAGGATTTCCGAAACTTCTTGATTCTTTGCGTGAGTGTCATCAGATCGTCGTAAGGAATATGCATTCTTCCGATCTTTAGGGCAATTGACGCATCCCTAAGTCCTTCAAGGTCTTTATATAGCATGCCATGTACATTGACTCCGATGTTGTCTAGCAATTCTGTTGGTTCTCCGCCGTCGACCGTAAGGAGGACATTTTGCACGGTCATTATCCATTCAGCTGGGCGTTGTTCACCAGACTCATACTTTTTGCGGCGAAATAGTTTCCCTCTGTCTACCATCTTGCGTCTAGTGTCCACTGCCAATGACAGACTCCCCACCTGAATCTGGCCAGCTTCGAGAAAATTGACGGTAGTGTTGACTGCCACGACGTCCACCAATTTCAACCAGTGTATTTTGCGATGTAGCCGCTTCACTTGCTCCTTTAGCTTGGTTAACGATCTCCAAGTCTTGCTCCGTCCTTGGGGGGAAGCGTTATCGTCATCCTCTGGCGGGGAAGAATCCCCTGGGCTGGTAGGCTCCGATACATCGGGGTGGTTTTTGTTTCGTTTGCTCTTGGCCAGAGCGGCGGGGTCCACGGTCACTTTCAAATCGGTCAATCGAAGACTAAGCCATGTCGGTTGGGCAAACGAAGGTGGGTGTAAAGACAGCCCAAGGCCACGAAGTTCAATCTGTACCCCTTGCTTCGGGACGTATGCGATGCGGCGGAGAGAGAAGTAGCCAATGCGTTGTATGGAAATTCCCGTGGCGATCCGAACGATGGCGAAGATAAGAAACGAGGAGAGGTAGAGGAGAAGGAACCCGACAAGGACCGTAGTCGGGCTGAAGAGCGTCATCGTGGCTCGCGGTCAGGAGGGCTGATCCGTTGAATAGGACAAGTCCAGCACAACAATTGAACCATCGAGAGACAAGACTGGGAGGCCGTTAGTAGATACGTGCGATACGATCAAGAAGGCTGGCAGTCTCGATGGTCATTCAAGGCTTTTAATTTTTTAGTATTTTTTTTCACGGTGGGGAGCACCTCCGAAGCATTCAATCTTCCAAGGGCTTGAAGCCGGCGAGGGCCAGGTCTCCGTTAAGACCGGAACTGTACACCAGCCGGAGAAGCGACGCAGGAGGTACGTAAGAACTGCGAGTCACTCATGCTTCTGAACTGAGGGGGAAAGTTGGAAGGCAAAAAGAGAAATGCAGTATAGGACAGGATGGGTGACTCGGATCCGACGAACCATAGATCTATCTAACCTTAAGCAAAAAGACAAGTCGAGCCAGTCAATCCACTAGTCGTCGAGCTGGTCGCGGGCAGAACTGGAAGCGGAAAGCCGCCCACTTGGACCCAAAACGGGGAGTCTTCTGGTAGGCTTCCGTTCTGGACGGTCGGCTGTCTCGGCTCATTCCTTGCTACGAACGAAATGGGTACGGGTTCCACGCTGCATTTTACCCTTTTTGACTGTGCGTGTCATATACGTGAGCTGTGATGTTCTGTAAAGTACGTACATACGTAGCCCCTATTTCTCGGTACTCTGGTGGGGATTTTTTGCTTCACGATTTACATTCTGGGTAATTAGTAGCTCGTTCGTGACTGACTTGTCTACCAGTACCTTGCATTTCGTCACGATTCTCTCCATCATGTTAGAAGTTTCATCGGAACAAAGCATTCTCCAGGAAGATTACTTACACCAATCAAGAACCTCCACCCGCGTAATGGTCATAACGACGTGTCCAATCCCACAAGTACAGAATAGATACAGTTCATGGGTGCACCTCCCTATATCTTGACTCGTCTATGAAGATCGGGCCTATCAGATTTCTAAATAAATCTTAATATTATACAGTTTATCGTACAAACCATTCATTTCCCGTAAACTAATATACAAGACGATGTATGCATGTCCATGGGGGCATACTGTAATTTCAACTAGGTTGTCCCCTCAAACCCCTGCTGCAAGTAAAACTGAGCGAGTTTCGACTCCTCCACAGAACAGGAGATCACTTATTTACGCCATGGATAATTCATAACATAGTCGAAATTCCAGCGGCAGAATCCTTTCAAGCAATAAAAGTCACCGATATTCATCTGGCTTCAGTCAATACGATCCCAACAGCAGTCGAAGCCATTCCGGGAGGAGGGACCATCTTTTGGAGGAAAAAGAATACTGATCGATGCTCTGCATTACTTCGATTCAGTTTTCGGTTGTCCTGCATCTGATCCACGGGATTTGGACTTTTCAAGTTCTTCGATCTTTTCATCAAGGAGTGCCATCTCAGCCTCAATGCTCAGCAATTTTTCGCTTAGAAGCCCTCTATAGTCATCATCCGAAAGAGACTTGAGAGGTATCCATTTCGAGTCGGCGATCCGCTGAATGATTGGCTTAGATGGAGTATTAGCCTGTTCTATTTGCCATTTGTCGATCGCATTATATGAGCCTTGCCCGAGATAGCCTAGTAGTGAAAAAACGACAACCCCTGGAATGAGCCGGCCTCCTGATCGTTGTCAACACGTCAGTCATCGACATCCAATTACCAGCGCTTGGCAGTAAAGCTTCAGAGGGCTAAATAGTAAATACCCATTAATCTTGTCACGGCTCCGCCAGCAATTCCTCCTGACAAGGCGCTGACATAAGCGCGTTGTTTCGGGGAGGCATTATCTTCATAGTGGAGTTTCAAGATATTGCTCCTCAGCCCTGCAAAGAAAGTTCAACAAGAAATTTCCTAGCACCTGGAAAGCAGGAGGGTAAGTAGCTTACACCAAAAAGAGGTTCCACAGGCGAACCAATGGATACCACACGATATAGAATGTATCACCGGGTGGCGAGAAGATCGAACGACGCCTGAAATCCCTCCATAGACAAGGCCTGCAGAGCCTGCATGGTAAACCCGTAAGTAACCGGAAAGCACAGTACATGTTGTACCAAAAAGTGCATATTTCAAGAGAGAGGTTTTATCAGCGAAGCCAACACTAACCGCTTAGAGCTCCCACCTTCAGGGAAGAGAAAAGAGAGTTAGATTCTAAACTCGGATTTTGACTATTTTGGCCGCTCATCTTGCGAACCGTCCAGATCGCAAACCAAAAGCCAGAATCAAACCCAGATATATCACTACTGCTGCCATTGGCATCTTTTATTGTCTGGATGAGCGAAGGGCGGAAGTGCACGTGATACATGAGCTTATGTAAGGCGATGTATGGACATGTTACCTATTCTCTTTTTGCTACTATTTTGTTCTCCAGGTAGTTACTTTTTTCATGTGGAGTAGGTTTCAATCCCTTGGTTAAACACATTATAGTAATTAGCAACGAGAGCTTGGTCTGGTTATGTAGCACCTCGACGGGTAGTATATATAAAATTGATGAAGGTGTCCTTGGGGAACAATAGAATCCACATTCACCTAGGGTTCCTGACTACCCGAGTCAAAATTCCTAGGGCCCCAGCGGTTGCTATGCAGTTCGATATTAGGTTAATTGTTCCTCAGGTGTTTACCGAATTGCATCAAGCCAACAAAATGCTTCCGTTTGTATAATAAGGATCATGGAACGCATCCTGCAGGGCAGAAATGGTGAAGTACAATTCTAGAACAATGCCATTTGCGTTCACCTGCAAGGAAAGAGCAGATCAACCGCTGAATTTCAAACTGAATTTCTAGTTTTTACTATTTCAGTCTATGAATCCTCTTCAAATTGTCAAAACGTAAATCCTCCTTCGTCCGTCTGAATACTAAAAAAAAAATTAAAGAAAAGACACGAAAAAAAAAAAAAAAAAAAAAAAAAAGGTGGGGAGGTCTAGTAGTTTGACCACTTCTCCGCAAAGCGAGGTTGCAAGAAAAAGCCCTCTTCGCGGGTTTGGGTCGAGGCGCAAACCGAAAAGCCGCACCAACACTTTTAGAGGCTGACTTTTCTAGCGTCATCACTAAAAATTATCCTCGCGGATTAACTCACTTTCCCCTCTGTTCTTCACTGCGGAGCTCTCCTGCAAACCCCCCCATTTTACATCGTCTTGTTCAAAACTAGACGCCACCTTTCGCATTCCTACAGTCTTCCTTATCGGAAGTCATTTTTATCTATTTCTCAACTCTCCCGTGTGAGACGCGCACAAGTGCTTCCCTTGGCGCGTTTCTGGATTTCCAACAACCGCAATCATGGGTATGTTTCTACCCCTCTCAGGCATAATTACTCTCTCGCTTTGTGACAGCACTGTCCTTTCTTTAATCGACAATGGATACTAATGATCATTTCTGCAGCGCCTAAACAGAAAGCCCAGAAGATGTCCATCAGCACCTTCTTAGCTGATGAGAGTAAGTTAACCCCGTGAATCTCCGCGGGGCGATCAGTGCTAACCCATTAGACTTTGGCTCTTGGGCCGACGAGATGGATGACATGCCTTTGCCTGGTAAGTGATGGATGCTATTCCAATGATCAGGGCTGGATGACCTCGTACTGATACAAATGTCTACTAGCCGGTACGTTATTGACACTGCTTGCTCACAATGTTTGCTACCCACCTGGATAGACAAATCTAATACAATATAGCCCCTCCTCAGCCCAGGTTCGACAGCGATCGCCGTGCTGGTGGCCTCTCGTCTGCTGGATTCGGCAGTGGCTTCGGTGGTACACTCCCCTCCCCCTTTATGGTATTTTACTTCATCTGACAATGAGAAACAAGACCGTGAACGCGGCGGTTACGCCGTTAGGGAGCCCCTGCCCCTCCCCACTCAGCCCCCGTATACTGCCCACGTCGGAAACTTGTCCTTTGATGCGACTTCGGCTGATATCTCTGACCTCTTTGTCGACTGCGCTGTGACGAACGTTCGTATCGTGGAGGATAAGTTAACGAAAGCCCCTAAGGGCTTCGGATACGTCGAATTCGAGACAGTAGACGGCTTGAAGAAGGCTCTCGACCTCTCCGGCGCCACCCTTCAGGGAAGGGCCATCCGGGTCAGCATCGCAGAGCCTCGTAAGTGCTTCGATATTTGGTTCATTATACACTCACTGACAGTGCTACAGCTAAGGAACGTGATGTCAAGGAATTCGACTGGACTCGCAAGGGCCCTCTTCCTGCCCCCGAGGCTCCGCGCCGTGTGCCTGACCGCTCCTCCTTCGGACGTAACATGGACAACTTCTCCGATGCTGGTAGCGAACGTACTGGTGGACGTCGCAACTTCGAATCCGACGGCAAGTTCCGCGATTTCGGCAACTGGGAGCGAAAGGGTCCTCTCTCTCCGACCGGCCCTGTGAGAGAAGGTGGCCGTCCTCGCACCAACGAGGGATCCAGTTTCAGAAAGAGCTCGCCTGCCTGGGGTGAGGGACGTTCCCAGGATGGCTCAAGGCCTCCACGACGTGAATTCCAAGAACGGGCACCTACTGCAGCTGAAATGGACAACGCCTGGAGATCAAAGATGCGTCCTGATCAACCTAAGGAGTCTAGCAACCCTCCTTCCCCCGCTGCCGCTCCTGCATCCCCTGCTGCCCCTACGAGGCCAAGACTGAACCTTCAAAAACGAACTGTGACCGATGCTGTGTCTAGCCCGGCTGCGGGAACTGGAACTGGGGCCAGCCCATTCGGTGGTGCCCGCCCGATTGATACTGCTGCGAGAGAGAAGGAGGTTGAGGAACGGCGCCAACTGGCATTGAGGCAAAAGAAGGAAGCCGATGAGAAGGCCAAGGCTGAGAAGGGCGACAAGCAGCGACCTGCCAAAGATCAGGCTAAGGGCGATAAGACTGGCCCATCTGCCGATGCTACCGGCAGAGATACTGCCGATACCCCTCAGGGTGCGAAGAACTTTGAGATCCTCCGGCGGGCCGGCGAGGACGAGAGTGGCATGGCCGCTGATCAAGATCAATCAGAGGAGGCCAAGCCTGCTGCGAAGGCCGAAGCCTCAAATGATGCCGCCCCTAGCAAGGAAAACGGTAGCTGGAGGCGGGCTCCTGCTCAGCCAGCTGATGCTGCTGACGAGGAGGGCTGGAGCACCGTGAGCTCGAGGCAACGTAACAACCGCCGTGGAGCCGGCCGTACGTTCGCATAGATCTAACGATACCCCGAATGCAGTCATTGCTCGACCGAAACTTCGCATTCCTTCCAGAGCGAAATCCTGTTCACGAGGCTCTTCGTACGGTACCTTGTTTTTTACTGTCGCGTACGGCTATCTCCGAGTAGCGCGTTTTCGAGGTTGCTCTGCGAACAACGTTCCTTTCAAATGATGAATTTTTTGGCTATGTTGATGACTGTTTGTTTTCAATACCAATCGTCCCGCTTCTCTCTACTCTCCATTTCTCTCTGATTGATTCACGACTTTTTCCGTCAGTCAAGATCCCCGATTCACGTCTAGTTTTTGCTACCGTTGTCCGGCATGTCGAAAAGTTTTCTACGTTTCTTTTTACCCCCTCTTACTAGTTGCCCTTAGTTTCCTTCCGAGCTAGTGATTCTCATGTATGTGGATGGACTTAGTATACACTCGTGACCTTTACGGCCGATCTGGATGGAAAGATGCTATGTTATTCTTAACGATGGTTTCTTTTTCTTCCGCGTTTCTCGGCTTTGTTGTGTCCAGTGATTCCCCCCTTTCGTTGTCTTGTTCGGGATCGGGGGATGGCGTGCGGAGTCCTGTTCTTCTTGTTCTTCTAACGGAGCCATGTCCCTGCCTAGTTGACGAGACAGCCATGCGAATAAGATTACGACTCAGCGACCTGCAGAGGTGCTTTCCGGAGCCCAAGAACGGTAGTCTGTCTATCTTACCAGCCAGGCTTATAAAAGAGAAACAAAAAAAAAACGACTATCCTTCCCGTTTGCTCCCTCTCCCTCTTCCAATCCGTGACACTGGTAGTCATGTATGGTACTTACGCAGGGGATCCCGCTGAGATTTCATTGTATTTTCGTCGTGTCTTGATTAGCTCTTTCTTTCGGTTAAACTGGGGTGATAGAATGAGCAGTACAGTTTTTCTTTTGTTCATATTGCCGCATCCATAGCCCTAGCGCTGTAATCCCTGTAGCACTGGACGGAGCGAGATGCGGTGGTGGTCATGGCCCACCCAATGAGTAGTCTACGGATATATAGGCTTCTCCCTCTGATACCCCGAATAAGTAATCCGATCCACACAAAATGCGGACCTGGGGGAGGCTGGGGATTTTTATCATCCCACCCTGCTGTCGACCGAGCCAGATTTGGAAAGATAAGCACAAAAATATACTTTGGCCAAGTCACCCTCCACGATCATACTATTCTGTTCGGCAGGAATAACCTGCCGTATTAAAGATCTATAGATCTGTCCTTGACGTGGGGACACTGTCTTTCTTCTTCTACTTCTCTATACTCTTTTCTTTTTTTTTTTTTTTTTGTCTATCTGTGTTCTTGATCCCCCGCAGCTCAGCTGAACAAAATTATGCACCAAAATGATCTCCAAATGAATTATGCATCGAGGGCTTCCCCGCCGTGGAAGCTGGAGTTCCGATCCTCGAGGAGATTTGTGATCTCGGTAGTTGCGATGGCTGTTTTTACGGTTTGGAGTCATATACACTGGTTCGCTGTGCAATGTGTACTGACGGTGATGATAGGATGTTTTTATTTATGGCATGGTGTGTGAACTTGTAGCCCCATTGCGTATTACTTGCAGGTGCTCATGGATATGGGCTTGTTAGATTGTTCCCATCCTGCCGGTGGTTTTAAAAACACGGGTGGTTGTGCCTGATGATCAACGTATGTGGTTTTTTCTATCTTCCCTTTTGTGGTTGAGAGAAGTTGTCGAGTCGTTGACAAAATCATACAGTGCAGCAATGGATGGCAATCATGCTTGCCGCGTTTGGGGGTGCTATCTTTGTTGGATCCCGTAAGTTCCTTGTACTCGTTATAGTCATCAGCGAACCTGATTGACCACATGGATATAGCTATATTCGGCTACTTCGCCGACAAGGGTACCTCCCGCCAGGTACCGTTCATCTTCGGTCTACTCGCGTTGGGCGGTTCGACTATCATGTTCTGGGTTGCCCGGTCACTCTCTTCGTTGGTCATCGCGCGAGTCCTGCAGGGCTTGTCTGCCGCTGTCGTCTGGACAGTCGGCATGGCTCTTGTTGTGGATACAGTGGGAAAGGACCAAGTTGGAGCGGCGATGGGTTATGTCTCTATGGCTATGACGGTGGGAACCGTTTTTGGTCCTTTTATCGGAGGGGTCGTGTAAGTCATTTTATTGCATAAAGATGCCCTTACCTCGCTGACCCGTATAGACTATCGCGGATAAGTTACGATGCCGTATTTACGATTGCCGTCGGACTAGTTGTTCTGGATATCCTCCTTCGGCTTTTTATGATTGAGCAGAAAACCGCATTGAAATGGACTCAGCCACAGATCGCTAACGAAACAGAGAGTTTGTTGAGTAGTGCGGATGAAACTGGCAATGGCGTGTACCAAGCCACCAGACAGGATCGTTCTGACCAAATATCAGCTAATCCCTGTCATTCTGTTTGCTGGCCTGAGGTCAGCGGCGAGCCAATTTCAAGTGGAAGGACATCCACTCTACCACCTATCGTGCGCTTAATGTGTTCTAGCAGCGTGTTGCTCTTCTTTGGAGCGACCATAGTCGATGCCATTCTGTGGTCTTCTTTCGACACCGTATGCGGAGCCCTAGTCGCACCATCTAGAATGCTTTGTTAACCAGTGGCTATAGGTGCTTCCGCTGCATGTGATGGAGACATTCAACTGGAGTCCCTTTTGGGTCGGGGTCTGTTTCCTGCCATTGTTTGCACCGTCTTTCTTTTCTCCTCTAGTGGGTATGTTTGGTGACCAGCAAACTGAGTGTCGATTGCATTAACCGATCTCAACAGGCGATGCCGTTGACCGCTACGGATCCCGAACAATCGCGTTCCTTGGATTCCTGCTGGACTTCCCTACGTTTTTCCTCCTTCGGCTCATCACACATGATACGACACAGGATCAAATCCTCCTTTATATTTTCCTATTCATCGCAGGTATTGCATCGACCCTTCAGATGGTGTCCCTCATGACCGAAGTCAGTCTTGTCGTTGAGCGACAGGAGAAGGAATCGCCGGGAATCTTTGGGAATCAAGGAGGCATGGGGCAAGCGTATGGACTGTTCAATGTCGCCTGGTCGGGTGGCCAGGTATTGGGGCCATTGATCGCGGGGCTCCTCAGTGATCGGGGTGGATGGGTGACGATGGTGAGCGTCTTTGGCACGATGAGTGGCGTTACTGCGGTGGTTATTGGCTTCTCAGATAAGAAGGTTCTGAGGTGTTTCGGGCAACGGACATAGCCTTGTGCTGGCTACTTTTTGGATAGTCTGTATTTTGGTCACTCTGTGTCTGAGGCTGTAACGGGTTACAACCATTGCAGATCGTGGTGGCGGGCGGCACGAAAGTATATGCGTTTGCATGATATCATCAGCCGATAAAGCAGGAAATAAAGTTCACCACAGGACATGAAGAATGCCAGATCTTCATGTAAGGGGCAAGTGGATATATAGATGACTGGAACTAATGGCTGGTATGTGTTTCCTAGGAGATAGCGAGGGTTGTTAGAGAGATAGCGGGAATAACGGTTGCAAGGGGGAAAGGGCCGCAAGGCTGGACATTAGAAAGTCCCCTTGTAAGTAGGAATTGCTTCAAGGCAGTTCCCTCCTTTGAAGACAAAGACCAGAGAGGCATGTTCCCTTGGAACAATCAAATTGTAAGTCAGCTCTTCTAATCCCCTGGAGGCAGTGAAAGAAGTGAAGTCGTTAGATGTATGAACATGATCCGTCACAAACATGCGGGGACTAAAAGGATCCACACACGTGTGTCTGCTCAGCAACAACCCATGATGGAAATCCGGGGGAGAAGATGAGATGGTCTGATTGCCCGAGAGACGATCATCCTAAATACCGATATTATTGACCTGGATTTTGAGAACCTCAACTAGGAAACCGGGCCCCATGTACGATATGACGGTGGTTGGATTTTCCCTCCCAATCCAATAAATCCACCCCCAAATACTAAGAATAGATTAGAATACAAGTAAACAATACATTCGCAATACACCAGACATCGACGCCTAACGTCGGGTAACTCCACTGCTTACCCGCCATCATTGCATTTATTCCATCTGTCTGTCGACAGAAGCCTTTCTAACGGCTGGCACTCTTCCTTTTCTTCTTCCCTGTTTGGTAGCGATGCGTGTGTGTCACTAACAACACTAGCCTTCTGTTTCTATTTAACTGGATCGCCCCCATCTCTGAAACTCGTACTTCAATTTCTGCGACACGGTTCTGACCGGGGATCCTTCTCATTTCCCTAACCTAATTTCCTGCTCGACTTGCGCTCATCCTCAAGCCCGTCAGCAATTCATGAAAGACCAGGATGTCGACCACAACGACCACTGCCGCTCTCACATCGACCACGCTGGTCGGCATGCTTCCCACAATAAACGCGATGGGTCTAATTCCCGGGAAGAACTGTCCAACCTGTGGCCAGGAGACGAGTCTAGTACACGAGCACGCCGCTGACCAGAAGAGGATCAAGGAATTGGAGGGACAGATCACCTTCCTGAGTGTCCAGGCTGCACAAACAGGTAAGGGACCGCACCGTGACATGTCTCAACTGTCACTTGCAACCGCGAGATGTTCTATACTGACTGTGATCTCCCTTGACAGCCGAGAAACTCGCCGAGTACGAGCACGAAGTTCGTCGTCTCCGGACCCAAGCCTCCACATATACCTCGCGAAATGGCTCCTCCGTATCATCTACCTCCTCCAATGAAATGAACCGGCCCCTATCACCTCCCTCTAATTCGCAGGGACGTCTATCGACTCTCACATCCTTTCTCCATTCCCGCGGACCCAGCAACACATCTCCGACCCAAACCCCCGCGCAACCCGTCTCCCAACCCCCGTCGCGGCAACCCAGCCCAGACCACACAGCTGAGCTGCAGAATGCGCTAGATCGCGAACAGAGCCTGCGACGAGCAGCGGAGTCACAATTGTCGCAGGCCAGTTCGGAGCTTGAGGAGCTAACCGCGCAATTATTTAGCCAGGCCAACGAGATGGTGGCTCAAGAGCGCAAGGCCCGCGCGCGGCTCGAGGAGCGAGTGGCGGTGTTAGAACGTCGGGACGTCGAGAAGAGGACCCGTCTTGAGCGCCTGGAGAAGGCGATGGAAAGGGTCGAGCGCATCCGGGCACTCGTTGGTCAGTGATCTGCGCCGGACAGAAATCTACCATACTCGTTTTCTGTTCTTTTCTTTTTCTTTTACTCTTCTTGTGCTTGGTTTGGTTATCTTTATACCCTGGTGTTTACAGCGACTGCCTCTCGTGGTTTGGAATTTGACATGAGACATGACTCGATGCTTTTCGGGTTCATTGCCCATGAAGGTTATGATCAGCATCTACGGCGTTAGGCACCTTATCTAATTTTGGGCTTTTTTGTTGGGCAGTCGCGGGGCGTTATTAATGTCTAGGTCCATATTGTCCACTCCGTATATCGATGTACATGACGACGTTATATATTCGTGTTTCTGTGTCGATATACAAACGATCAGAATGTCTCTACTCCGTACTAGTCACGTATATAACATTTGCACATATGTCCAGACCACCCGAGAACACCAATCTAGGCAAGTCTTCCCTCAATAAATAACAAAAATAAAATAGAAAGAAAAAAAAAATATCCTTTCTCAAATCCGCACGTTTTTGTGAACCCCGCCAAATCTGGAACTAATTTCTGAGACCCACCCAACCCGGTGAATATCAATGAGAAATGTAAATCTAAGGGTTCGACCTTCTATTCATACTCCTGGACTCTCGAACTATCGATTGACAATTGTCCCGAAACACACATATCTTTCTGGGAAAAAAAAAACCTTTATATACAGATCCGGATATACAAAGCATCACGACTAAAAAGAAAACACTAATTGAACTCCCCCCACCATGCCTATCGGCGTAGCCATCATAGGAAGTGGTACGTTTAACCACAATGCAAGATTTGTATAAAACAAAACCCTAACGGAGAAAACAGGCAACTTCGCCCGCGAAGAACACCTGGTAGGTTCTCTCATACCGAACAAAACCAACATAGCTCGTTTTTAACCATGGGACAATATGACTAGCCCGGCGTGCAAGCTTCGGACGCATTCGACTTAAAAGCCATCTATTCGCGGTCTCTCACTTCAGCGCAAACCCTCGCGACCGGAGTCTCCGGAGTCGACCTGTACTCGGAGGACGCAGGGTCGGGGAAAAGTTACGATGATCTGCTTAGTCGGTCGGATATCACGGCCGTTATTATAGCGTGCGTTTGGTTCTACAGTATGCTACGCAAGTTGACAGGGACGGGGCTAATACGGTACTCCACGATCTAGTATCCCCATCCTAGTACAGCCAGAGTTCATCCGCAAGGCCCTGATAGCGGGGAAACATGTTCTGTCCGAGAAGCCAATCGCGAAGGACCTATCTGCGGCGCAGGACCTGATTAACCTCCACAATTCCCGCATCGTCAGCAGCAAGACCGTTTGGGCTGTGGCCGAGAATTGGCGGTACATGAGCAAGTTTGTGCGGGCTGCGCAGGAGGTGCGGAGACTTGGCGGTGTTAAGAATTTCCGGGTCGTCATGAGGAGTATGATTAAGCCTGGGTCGAAGTATCATAGTATGTGTACTCCTTCTACTGGATATCGATGGGGAAGGGCTAATGCGTGCGAGTAGAAACGGAATGGCGTCGGAAACCCGAGTACCAGGGTGGGTTTGTTCTGGACGGCGGTGTTCATGTTGTTGCTGCGCTGCGCTTGATTCTGGGACAGAGTGATGGTCTGGCTATGGTGGCTGCGCATTCGTCGCTGCGGCAGGAGCATCTTGCCCCTGTTGATACTGTTGATGCGTTGGTTAAGACCCGATCGGGCGCTACGGGTGTGCTGTCTGTCTCTTATGGTTCGGAGATCAATGATTCCGTTTTCGAGTTTACGTGCGCGGACGGTGTCGTGACGTTGGATTTTGATCGGTTGACGGTGAATGGCGAAGGTTATGATGTGCCGTTTGAAGGTCGCGGCGTCAATAAGGAGCTTGTTGAGTTCGCGGAGTCTATTACCACTGGAGCCGGGATTGCGACCCGCTTGCGACCGGAGGAAGCATTGGCGGATTTGGAGGTGATGGAAGGCATCTTCACTAGTAGCGCGAAGTCAGGGGAAAACCGGCATCTGCACCTGCAGATCTGAGAGGAGTAGGAATGATAGACCAGATGCAATAGAAGATGATAAAATGTATGTACAGTATGGTGTGGAGTAGAATTGGAGATCAAAACCGAAGCATAACAATTGATACGGGAGACGATAAGAGCGGAAGGTCAAAGACGGATGACATAAGCTAGCCAACGATCGACACCAGACCCGAAGCGGCAAGTCTTGGCAGGGCTTTCACCCTAATTTTCAGCTTAGCGAGGCGTTAGCACCCGACTGCACTGGGCGGCCAACCTCAGCGCGAATTTTTGAGATCGAATTCGACCCGTCACGACAACTCGAGCGCCAGCGGCCTTACGAAACCGACAAGGTATGTTCTATGCCGGGATGATGGATTCATCTTGTCGTTGTTATTGATACTAATTGAAATTCAGATGGTCCTCGCAAAGAAGCACGTCCCCATCGTCAAGAAGCGTATGTCAAAATCCTGCCTTCCTGTTTTCCCGTCCAGCACATCCACCACAGCCCAGGTCCCATGTATAGCAAGAGTGTTAGCGAAGGAAGGAATTAGGGAGGGTTCGCACGAAATTTTTCGATGAGAAACGGAGCATGATATCACTGTTCGAAGGAAGAATCAAGGAATCCGACAACGACTTGGCAATACGATGAAACACTTGGGAGATATACATCGGGACTTCTGGGACACAATCTGCCACACATGCACACTCGGGCTATTGAAATATCGGGACTGACAAGGATTGCAAAATACAGGCACCAAGACCTTCAAGCGCCACCAGTCGGACCGCTTCAAGTGTGTGCCTGAGTCATGGCGCAAGCCTAAGGGTATCGACTCCCGCGTCCGTAGACGCTTCAAGTCGAACATTCCCATGCCCTCCGTACGTTTTTCTCCGTTCCAATCTCGATCCGGAAGTGAAAGGTCACAGCGCGACCGGTGATCGAACTTGCGATTTGCACAGCGAAACAATGAATACTGATATGGCTTGAATCGATAGATCGGCTATGGCTCCAACAAGAAGACCAAGCACATGATGCCCTCCGGCCACAAGGCTTTCCTCGTCCAGAACCCCAAGGACGTTGAGCTCCTTCTCATGCACAACCGCACCTACGCTGCTGAGTACGCCCACCCTTTCCACCGAGCTATGCAACGCAGAAAAGCGCATCCAACTAACATGATAATTCTGTAGGATCGGCCACGCCGTCTCCTCCCGCAAGCGCGTCGAGATCATTGCCAAGGCCAAGGCTCTCGGTGTCAAGGTTACCAACCCCAAGGGCCGTGTCACCACTGAGGCTTAAATGCTTTAGCCTAATTAAATCAACAATTAAAATCATTATACCAAAGCATTTTCAATTGGAGATGGGGATCTCTGGCAAAAGCTGCAAGGTGTCGCTTCGGTTTCTTGTATGGTCGTGAATTGAAATGAATCATCTCGTGGCGATAACGAATTTCTCTTATGTGCATGATTGGGTGGCTGGTACCAGCACTGGGATATCAAATAGAAATGGGGGCTTTTCCATTGCGATTCCCTTCCTCGGTCTGGTTACTTTTGATCGGTCGGTAGTGTTTGAACGTAGGACGTGCTTGGATCCGATTTAAGATGGCAACTCCGTCAGTGGGTTCTGCGCTGTGGTGGCATCCGTAGATGAGACCAAGATCTGGCTGAGTTGTAATTGCCAACCTGTATTTGCACCATCCTAACTACTCGCTACGCTCTCAGTCCTTGGGAATCATGGAACAGTATATTCTTTAGGTCAATGCTAGGCCAAGTACCCACAGCTCTACATACATGCCAGCGGCCAAAAACATAGAACTCCTGATATCCATGCATACAGGTATCATGTAGTCGTAAACATCAAGTCTATGCAAATATGGGAGAGCAAAAAGTCTAACACGACAAGGAAAGATCAAGCAGACTGCTGTTGCTCTGCAGCCTCTCGCTATCAACCACTCCCACGCCCCGAACCAAGACACTTCCCTGACTCCTCTTCGGCTTGTCTTCATCCTCCATGCCCTCCGGCACAGTTCCATTCCCGACCACGATCTCTTCCTCCTCCGGCACCGGCTCCCAGTCAGGGACTGCCTGAGGACCATCCATGCCTGGCGGAGGAAGAGCCCAAGAAGGCATCTTGCTGCGGTACTTCCAGTCGCCATTATCCGAAGAGTAGGCAACGGCATGAAGGAAGATACCCAGCTCATGCACACCAGGATCGGTATAGAGCTCCGTACCACAGACGTCACACTGCTCCCCGGAAAGCCTCTCGCCCTTGCGCTTGTGGTACTCTACCAGGGCAGCCTCGTGCTCGCGGGACATGATGCCCTCGATGACGGAGGACTCCGTACCCGGTGGCACAAGCGGCGCAGCAGTAAGATGAGTCCGGTACGAAACCGTATCCGGAAGTTCAGTCTTGCCCATGTTGTTCAACCGCTCCATAATCTCATCATCCCGATCACCGCTATCCTCGCTCTTTCCCAGACTGGGCCCAAACACACGCCGATTCGAATAAATCGGATCATTCGTGATCGGATGCCCCAGGAACTGAAGATGGACACGAATCTGATGCGTGCGTCCCGTCAACGGCAAACAATGCACGATACTATATCCTTCCTCCTCGTTCGAATACACAGGCGGCGGCGTCGCAGCACGGTCCCCTCTCGCTGCAGCCGGCTCCGGAGCATGAGGGGGGTAGTACGCCAAACGGCGGAACTTTGTCTTCGCCGTCTTACCGGTGGCGCGGACCCGGTTCAGCCCCAGCTTGGGACTAACCTGCATGATGGGCTGGTCGCAGACCACCACCCCGTCCGGGAACTTGCCCTTCACTCGAGTCACGTACTCCTTGTGCACAGATCGCTCTTTCAGCTTGCTTGCAACCCTTTCTGCTGCTTTGGGATCTTTGGCGATGAACATCACGCCGGAGGTTAACCGGTCCAGTCGATTGCAAGGCCGGGGCACCCAACCACCACCACGCTCGGCGCGGAGGATCTCGATGACGGTGTTGTAGTGGTACCGGCCGGCAGAGTGGACAGGCACACCGGCCGGTTTGTCGATGACGATAAGGCCATCATCTTCGTGGATAATGCCGATCTCCTGGCTTGTGACGGGAGGTTCGTGTCGGTGAAGGGTATGCGAAATGACATCGCCGTTCTTCACTGTTGTGTTCGGTCCGGCTGGCTTACCGTTAACGGTGACTTTGCCGGCTGCTAGGGCCTCTCTCTAGAGATATAATCAGTCAAAATGATCCAGCGCGATTGTGAGCCCGTGTGTAAGAACATACGTAGTACTCTGGTGGGCGATCGCGAAATTCGGAGACAAAGATGTCGACTAGCTCCCGACCCCTCCATCGCTCTTTGCAGAATGTGTTGTATGTGTAATGGTATGGACTGACGCGACGAAATCCTCCCTCGAAGTGATAGGGGCCTGTTGGTGGTTCGCAGGGTGTTACAGCCACTTTGGGTGGTTCTTCGACAGGGTCCGGAGGAGGCACCTTGAGCGTCGTGTCGACGGGTGTGAGAGCCATAGTGGAAGCAGGAAGCCTGCCTTTTCGCACAAGGTAGGCGAGGATACGAGGTGAGGGAGCCAAATTTAAGGGTTACGGAGAGTATCACGAGTTCATGGGCGGCGATTTAAATTGAAGAAAAGTAATTTTACGTGGGGTCGGAGGGGCGTTCCTGAAATTCAAAAAAAAAAATTAAAAAGAGTTTATGTTTCTTGGCGTTGCTGCCCCAGATTCATTCATGGAACCAACATTCATTTACTAGGACGAGTGTACATAGCTTAGCCTTTATATATACTGAGGCAGGTAACACATGGAAGGCTATAGTAAAGGATAAGATCATTAAGAATAATAGTTTGATTAGACTTGGTCTTGCTACTAGTATATTCTATGAGGCAATTGGATATATATTATGCTGTACCATCCATACATTTCCTCAATTTATAGATCTCTGAATGTCTTGCTCTGGAAAAGTGTACATTCTTTCTTAGGGATCATATTGGGATAGACCTGCAAATATACTATTAAAGTAGTAAATAGCATATATATTTGTCATAATCTCATCTGTTGGCCCCTCGCTAAGCTAATCATGACCTTGAAGAGGTGCTAAATCTATTTCTATAGACATATGTTATCCAAGGTATATTTGATACTCTTTACATTCCTGGCTGAAATATTGAAATATATTTTTATTGTAATTGAAGAATGACATACAGAGATGCTTTCGGTGTGACTAAAAAAGAGAAAAGAAAAAAAAAATAAAAAAATGGGATAGCTCCGAGAGACCAATAATCGTCAATATTCTGACCTTGTTGAGCAGACAGCGTTATGTTGGCGAAAAGCTCCTCACCTCCTCTGGGTCCTCTCGGAATCTGACTGTGATAGATGGTCGTATATTGGCCAAAGGAATTCCACAGACCAACAAAGTGAGCAACCAAACTACTGCATAGGTTAACCTTATCAATATGCTTCGTAAGAGAAATATCCTGTTCAATATTCCATTCTCTCTTCTCTTGCACTTAGCTTGCTTCGCTTATCTCCCAGATGCGTAGTGGGAATAGACTGTCCATTTCCTCTCCAATTTACAAAAAGATAGACCCCAATTTAATCTAGCTCCTTGTTCTTTCTATCCAGTTGTATGACCCGACTTTTATCTGCTGTTTCTCTACAATCTGTACCAGGAACTGAGGAAGGACAATAGCATATGAATCACGATGAGTTCGAATATTAACCAATTGCTACCTCTTCTAGTCGTGGATATCCAGCAAACGCAATCTCGTACAGACACCCCGTAGCGCCTTTTCCATCCTGCCTCATACTCCTAGGATGAACCTAGAATGACCGACCCCAGCCCTTATCATTTTTATCCTAAGCACACTGCCTGATAGGAATTGGATATCCTCCTGGCCATGTCCACTGGCAAACCTGCGAGCAACAAGACGAAAAATGAATACACGGCCAACCATTTGAATGACAATGATCTTTCGATCCTGTCGTGGTTACGTTAGATGGCGCAGCAGTTTCAACACTCTGGCAATCTTTAACCTGGGCACAAACACTGTCATTGGTTTTTGATGTCTCTGTTGACGACTGGAGAGTGATATTCCCGGATGAGTTATGGTTCTGCGAGGTTTGGTTGTATACGTCAACTTTGTGGTCGATCGATGCCACCAAAGTAGCAATAGCGGAGACGATGATGGTGGTAACGTAGAGGATGTACATGGTGTTCTTGGTTTGTCTCGCGTTGTTGGGTATAGCGTTTTATACAGTTCTTGGTCGATGTGCTCGGAGAATGCTTGCTGGAATGACCTTCTGCCTCTCCTTGGGTGGAGCTATCAAGTGCGGACGGGACGAACTAGCAGTGAGGTGTAGATGACGGAGTAACGATGTGCGTGTTTTAGACGACGATGATTTGAGATACGTTCTTGAATCGTAATTTTTCTTGTACTTCATAACTTGACGATTTGTAGAGTATAGTTTCACGCAGCCCATAGTCTCAGTTCCTGAAACTAGCGTAATGGATTGTGATTGATACTCAAACCGGCAGGTGCGATCTTCAGTACCTTCAATTTCAACCTGTCCAATATATTGCACTCGAATATTGTCCTTCTCTTGGAGCGTCTATGATATACCTACTACTTAGTACAGGATAGATCATCGCAGGCGAGCCTAACTCCAAGTACGGCGTTCAGATTGAATTGCTACACGGATACTTCTCATAGCTGGTTAAAATTCAACGAATTACACACGACCTCATCACCGAGCTCATACTGCTCTTCCCTTTTCATTATGAACGATAAACATCATTCACATAAATAGCTTCTGGGCCTTCTTTAGCTCTCTGAGAGCATTAACCGCGACGTCCCAGTTTAACCCATAAAAATCTCACACCAAGTCCGGGTATACAGACTAGACGGCCACTAATTTACCCCCCTTCATGTTTATCAACGATATAACCCTTATCAGATCCGCAGACTTCCCGTCCACCAAAGCCTCCACCGAGTTGTCCAATTCCATTGTGGTGGGTTAAGCACGATATAGAAGATCGACAATGCCGCCGATCTACTCCATATCAGGCAAAGCGCCGGCAAAAGCAACCTCGGCTAATTCCTTCCTCGGAAATGACATTTAATATGGATATCTGCATCTGAATCCGATAAGAACATACTCTAAGGAACAAGCATATCAATATCTCCAGCCTAATAATCTCACCCTCATACATCCCTCCATACCAGTCCAGCATAGCAGACCCAAACATGGCCCCCAAAGAAATCGAAATCAAGAAACGTCGCACCCGAAGCGACTACGTCTTTCACCAAGTATACCGAACAAGATGGTACAGTAAAATACTATTCAAACCAATGTCCCGAATAAATATTAAACGAAAGGGGAAATAGGTTTGATAACGATATGTACGCACACCTCAACAATACTGTCTACGCAATGCTCTTCGACTCCATCGTCAACAGCTGGCTCATCGCCGAATGTGGCATGGACCCCTTCTCCATCAACAACAAGGACTCGGATTCGTCAGCAAAGACCAACGCAGCGTCCCAGGTGGGTATCATGGTCAACTCGTACTGCGATTACTTTGCCTCGGTGTCTTTTCCCGATGTGTTAGACCTCGGACTTCGGGTCGCGAAGCTCGGTTCGTCGAGTGTTACCTATGAAGTTGGGGTTTTCAAGCAGGGGGAGGAGGAGGTGAAGGTTGTTGGGGGGTATACGCATGTTTTTGTGGCGAGAGAGACGATGAGGCCGACTAAGGCGGGAATGGAGGAGAGGGTGAGGAAGGGATTGGAGAAGCTGGTTAAGGGGGGTGGGAAGGAGGGGGCAAAATTGTAGAGCCTCTTTTCTTCTTTTTCCCTTCCTGTTCTTTTACTTTTCTTGTGAGATCTGTTTTAGGGTTTAGATTTGGGCTGCTATCTCGTACAGCTGTTTTTGGAGATTATGTGGCTGATGTGGAAATAGCTTGACCGCCTCTTTCTCTACTATTGATACATTCGTGATCCGATAGGATGAAGTAACAAATGGCAGAGCCTATACAATTAATATTCCTAATTATACCACTACGACAAATGCCAGGAATGAGCATCTCCATATCACGTCGAATCTTGTCGACGGGATAAGCCCTACTTGCCCGGGCCGTACTTGCCCGGTAGTAAGCCCTTGCATGGATAACACCGCGAGCATTTACCAATCACATGGCCTGCAGATGGATCCTATCCGCAAGTGACGGATGGTACCATGCATATCCAATCGAACATTGCTGCTGCAACTAACGGGTATCCACTTCTTGCGGCAGATGATACGTATCTTTAGGGTTGGTTCCGCCTAAAATTCAACATACACAAGGAATGACTATCATTCGAGCAGTATCGTGCTCCGCTATCATATTGTATCAATGTCTATCAAGTCACTATTAAACTCCTGTTCAAGTCTGTTGTTCTTGAACCACGTAATAACCGAAAGAATCATCACGGCCAATATCCATCGTGATGGCATGTAGCCACCCAAGTCGCAAACAATAGGGAAACAAGCAAGTCTAACTACTTTTTTTTTCTAACCCAAACACCATCGCTGTGTAAAGCAAATATTCGTAATAGTCGAGCCATCAAGCATGTTCATAGGTATAACAGAAGCAGAAAATAATGAATCGCTTGTACGCTCGCTTTCAATAATTCAAGAATAGCAATTGCCTTTCTTAGCCTGCCAAGCCATGTTCTGCAGGAGCCAGCTGCAGAACAGATTTCGTCATGGTCGGATGGTGAGAAACCATGTAAAGAGGCCCAAAACTGTCAGGGCGCTAGCCCTCGGGATGGGCTATGGAGGAAGCCGCAATTAGCCCAGCTTGCTTGGGACAATGCTGGCGCGGGAAACATTCGTGCTATCAGGGAACAGTACTCGGCGCATAGTCTGCGTTTCCGAGTCGTAGTACCATTTTTGATAGGGTCCCGGAATGAATTTTCCCTTGGCATCCCATCCGGCAACCCAGGTGTCTCCGTCATCAAGGCGGAAGAAGAGAAATCTTTCCGGCTTAGCGCCTTCGTGGACGGTCACCGAATGCCAGCGGCATCTGTCCTCCAGTTCATGCTCGAACATGTATCGGTGGAGGATGCGGCAGTAAACGACTGGGACAGGAAGTTTTTCGTCGTACTCATTCCCATCCTTGTAAACAAGGTGCCATCCACGGCCAGGGATGTATTTGTAGATGCCAGGGACAGGAGATTCCCAATGTTCTTCTTTATGGATGGTCCCCTGGATGCGCTCCCCACGTTGGAACCAGTATGTGGGGCAGAAGACGGTTCGGAGGCAGAGGAAAAGGTTGGGTGCCATAATGATTCGAGATGAGATCTTATTGACGATGTTGTACGGCAGGTGATTCACCTAGATAGGTGAGGTTTAAAGAAGCAAGATGGCTGAGAAATGCACAAAACTGAAACGCTTGATTGCGGGAGAACGGAAAGCGTTGCGATCACGAAAGAACGAAAAGGTGGATGGTTTATAAGTCGACGTCCATCGTGACAAACACAAGTAAAACAACTCGAGTTGAAAGGATAATGTAAGGTGAACAGGTTGTTGGTCCCGATTGGAAATCGGTTATGGCTCCTTCGAGCGCAGTGGCGTTAATTGGTCGGGATAATTGATAAAGGTACAGTTGGATGGTTCCCGCAGGACAGGAAGATGAGCCGCGAGACACGTAACGATGCGGTGTGCACTATATATGCGTCCCGCGATAATCTAGGCCTATGCTGAGTTGCACAGGGTGATTTCGGGAAGCTGCGACGGTAGGTTGATGAGACAGGTGTTTCTGAAAGGAAACAGATAGGTCAAGGATTATGCAAGAGACCGGGGTACACGACTATGTGGTGCGGCGGTGGGAGATGCACGGTGCACACAGAAGCTGTCGTTTCTTATTGCTCAGAGGAAGCGCATGGTAGCAGGCTTGCATCTAAGTGGACGATAGGAGGCAGCAGCATGTTAAAGGAATTTTGTTGTGTAGGAAATAACAAGGAACACGACGGAAGGATCACAAGGTACAGCTTTAAAAATGATGGTGGGATGTGGGTGCCTGACAGGGGCGGTCTGAGATCAGCCGGAACTAGAAGAAATTTTCTGATATTGCAGGCTAGACCCTAAGCAAGTACGCGGGTCCGAAGTTTGGTAGTGTGGGAAATCGGTGGTTCTCCGTCACTCTTTGCAAGGCTGCAACGGCAAACCCAATTCTCTGCGCGCGGGTAACCCGAGACCCACCGGTCCACACTCGGAGGATATTTTTATAAATTTTTCATGGTGTGTGTGTGGTGAGTGTTGAATATCAATTACTTCAATTGTTATAGGCTCCGCCATTCGCCTCAGCTGTGTCTCTTGATCTCATGACTCAATGGCTTGGCAGTCGACAATATTGATAACAATTACATGATCGGCTCGGGAAACTGGTGATGTCGCGTCCACCTTCTGACTTGGTTTCCGGGTGGATATGGTTCGAGACCACCGCCGTCTTCAGCAAACCCGTTCTTGGCCTTACTCATTGGTAAGCTATCAAACTTTTCTTGTCTGCTTGCCTTCTTTCTCGCTCTCCTTATAGGTATTTTCCGTTGTGATATTCTCTTTGTTTTAATTCTCTGGACGGCTTTGTTGCAGGCCTCGAGTGAATTCGTAGACGATGCAGGTTAGGTCAAGAACTCCAGCCATGTGCGTGTTATCTATCACTGAATTGGTGGGATTGGCTGGTAGATCAAACTCAGGGCGCTCGGTTCACTCGCCAGGATTCTGGTCCTAGTCATCTCCTTTCATTAGCTATTTGTTGGAAGTGACGAGATATGGCCATAACTTGGGAGAAAGCAAGAAACGCAAAATAGTCACCGCTCTTAGAGCCTTGGCAATTCTGCGAACGCTGGCCAGAATAGCTCTACTATCTCCATCCTTGTGGGACTGATTTTCCAAGACTTAATTAGTTTGCAGAGCGCCGGCGAAACATGGACGTCTGCCTACCCGAAAACTGTACGATGGCGCCGCCACTAGATTCAGCACTATTGTTTGAAGTTTCTGCAGCAGGTAGACTTAAGGAGGTTTCACAGAAACCAGTCAGTCAATAAACAGACAAGTGAAAAGGGTGGTAGTAGCGAATGTTAGTGATCATGAGGAGGGCATTTCAAGAGGGGAAGTTAAAGGGAGGGGGTCCAATCCCATGATCAGCACTTTCTGTACGGCTACTAAATAGGAACGCCAATCAACCGTTTAAGTTACTACTACACTACTGGTAGTAGTGGTAGCCTGGAGTACTCTCTTTCTCCGACCTCACCTGTCGGACTTCTCTAACCTTCCCCTTCCGGCACGATTCTCTCCTGAGATTGAGTCCGTGTCACCGTTACTAGGCAAATATTACTGTTTCTAAATGGCCTGACGCTACTGAGTCTATTGGGGCAGCCACTACAGACTATCATTGTACAGTACTGTACGGGTAAGGTTGAATTTATCCGTGAATATAGTTATGATCAATGCCACAATCAGTTCGGTTCGAGAAAGACCCGACCGAATAATGGAATTCTATACGGAGAACACACCTCCGGAACAGCCGAAAAATTGCCAAAAGTCCTTGCTATGGGTATTTCAAATAATTACAGCTCCTTACATCGATGATATCTAGACTCATCCTTCAATGATTATGTCGGGGGTTCTCATATCGCTGAGCAAGTCGTTGGTATTTTACCGCGTCTCGGAGGACCATACCATCGCTCAACTGTGTCGTCTCCCTCCTGAACAGTTCCTGCCATGGAGTTTGACTTTCTGGGACATCATAACCCCCCTGGGCTTCTAGCGCCTTTCTCCGCTTTTCCAGCTCCTCCGTGGAAACAAGGATATCAACGCGCCGTTTGTTGAGATCAACACGGAGTCTGTCCCCATCCTGAAGGAGGGCTAAATTTCCACCCGCTGCTGCCTCGGGACTAGCATTGAGAATGGATGGCGAGCCGGAAGTACCCGATTGTCGTCCGTCTCCAATGCACGGAAGCGATTTGACCCCTTGTCGCAAAAGCCGACCAGGTGGGTGCATGTTGACAACCTCGGCGGCACCTGGGTATCCCAATGGGCCAGCACCACGCATCACCAGGATACTTCTGTCGTCGATGGGAGTGGAAGGGTCTTCAAGCCGGTGATGATAATCCTCCGGTCCATCAAACACTACAACCGTGCCTTCGAATGCATTTGGGTCATTGGGATTCTCCAAGAACTTCTGTCGGAAAGGCTCCGATATCACACACGTTTTCATAATAGCGGATCGGAACAGACTGCCTCGGAGATGGAGAAAACCGGCATCTTCCAGAAGTGGCTCGTTATACGGCTTGATCATTTGACGGTCCCAGGTATGTTTGCCCCGGACATTCTCGGATACTGTCAAACCGTTACATGTTAAAGCATCCGCATTCAGCTTCCTGGCATCTAGCAATTCTGCCATAATCGCCGGTAGCCCACCCGCTCGATAGTATTCCTCTCCCAGCAGCTCACCAGCTGGTTGCATGTTCAGCAGCAGTGGGATATGAAATCCGAGTTGGTCCCAGTCATCCAGTGAAACTTCTACCCCAATATGTTTGGCGATGGCGTTGATATGAATGGGGGCATTAGTACTGCCGCCGATAGCAGTATTAACTACAATGACATTTTCGAAAGCCTCCCGAGTCATAATGTCGCTGGGTTTCCGATCAGAATGAACCATTTCAACAATACGCAAACCTGTTTCGTAAGCACATTGCCCACGTTCACGGTACGGAGCCGGTATGGCAGCCGACCCAGGTAGGGCCATTCCAAGCGCTTCCGCCAAAGCATTCATAGTTGATGCTGTTCCCATTGTGTTACAATGTCCCACTGATGGTGCACTATCACATCGTCAGTGAATATACTTTCATAGTTATCGATGGACATACCCTCTGGACACATAGTCAATGAACTCCTCCTTGTTGATTTCACCTGCCGCATACATCTCTCTACCCTTCCATACTACCATCCCAGACCCCGCCAGGTCATTCTTCACGTAACCGTTAAGCATTGGGCCAACATTCAAGCATATTGCTGGGATATTCTTCGAACAAACGTCAATTATTTGAGCAAGGGAGCGGAGATACAGGGGTCACGCACCACTGTAGCTGCGGCCATCAGAGCGGCGGGAGTAGTCTTGTCGCAGCCCGTCAGGAGGACTACACCGTCCAAGGGATATCCGAAGAGAATCTCTACCAGACCCAGATACGACAGATTTCGGTCGATACAGGCAGTGGGTCTCCTGCTACTCTCCTGAATAGGATGCGTGGGAAACTCAAAGGCGATACCTCCGGCGGACCTAATGCCTTCTCGGACCCGTTTCACCAACTCGAGGTGATGGCGGTTGCATGGAGACAAGTCGGACCCGGACTGTGCTATTCCGATTATTGGTTTACCGGACATCAGTTCTTCCCGGGTGATGCCATAGTTGAGGTACCGCTCAATGTAGAGGGCCATCATGCCCGGGTCACTCTCACAATTGAACCAGTTGGCCGACCGTAACTTCCGGGCCCTTGATGCATTAGCATTTGGCCGGCCATCTTGCATTGATGCCAGAGTTTTCTCAAGCTCCGCTGTACGCCTCCGAAGGGCAAGCAGTTCGCTCTCACAGTCCTCAATGTTCACTGGTGGTCGGCTGCCCCTGTCACTGCAGGAGCAGCCCTCACACGAGGCGCGTGACTGACATGACATGGTCGGGAGGAAATCTGGGATAATTCGAGACACTCGATCGTATATTATTTATAAGCCGTCGGCACTAGATCGCGGGCTAGAAGGCCATTAGCCACTTTCGTTCTGCGATTCTCTTTACTGGAATCTCAGCATGGCTATATGTCTTCTCGTGTGATTACCTTTGTCTAATTATTTTTGCTCTTACGGATGGTAAATATAAGCTGGAGAAAGACGAGCTGTTGTGAGATTAAATAACCCTGTCTGGTATCACATCAAATGCGGGACACTATCAATGCCGAATAATCCGGACAATCTCCGACATCCACAGCCGTATTAATGCCGAAACCAGGGTTGCAAGAGATGACGGGAGATCGGGCGGTGGGAATGCAGGACCATTTAAATAAGAACCGCGCAGGAACCCCCCCCCATCATATCCCCATTCTTCGGGTCAGAAAGCTGGATGAATTCTCGGTACGTGTTGGTCGATTGTGGGGGCAAATGATGGAGACCCATCAATCGCTCTTCTACCCCACGCTAGTATCATAAAGCATCGATGCATGGGGGTGCATCGAATCTGCTGTGTCTATTGATCCCATCCAGATATCATTTCTAATTTACTCCCAAAGTCATATATCCTGGCCGCAGATTAGCATGATATTATGTTCAACTTGCAACCCCAGTTGCTGTGATTTGGCGAGTCACTACGGTGGACCGAAACTATTCCATACACAATCAATATCGAATTGTATAACAGCGAGATGCTCATAGCGTCGTTTTGAGGAGCAACAACGGAACCAAGTTTCATGGAACCATTCTCTCCATAGCAATTCGACGCAAAGCGTTAACCCTCCCCTTCTCCATATAACAGTGAGTTTCGCCCTATGCATCATAGAATCGGGTTCCCCATTGAGGAGACTCTTCCTCGGTACTAGACTTGTTAACACTTGTGGTGTCTGACTAAATCGGCTTGCGCAGCCATAGTCAAAGGCTTATGTAGGGTTTTAGTTATATCGTTGCTGTTGCACGAGGGGATGTGTATGAATCTAAAATACCACCCGTCGGTAATGTCTCCAAAGATACAAATATCCTGGCTCATCTTCTGCCGCGCTCTGGAAATAGCGTCTGCAATATTCATGTGAGCTGTCACTTTCAAAATAAAGCAAGCATGACCAGGCCGGGTCTTGAATACCACCAAACCTACATCTACATCCTCGCTGCCATACCACAGTGGATTCCGGCGAGAATCCGTACTTCCTTCTGCCAGAGTTCATAATCTAGTGTACACTCCAAGCCAACTCTCGGGCGCAGTTTCAAAGAAGGGAGCGATAATTTCAACTGCTCTGTTTCAGCTGCAGCGAGCATCGTCATTAGTCGTACGTGATGAAACCCCTCCACAAGACCGATGTTGAGCAGCGGGATACTGCTTAGGATGGGCCAGTCCCGATAAATTGCCACTATACCAGTCAGTAAAGAATGGTATAATGGCTAACGCGGCGTCTGAGCAACACTCACGGAGATACTCTGGTCCTTTCATATCTTCCCATGGTATCCAGTCTCTTCGCGCTTAGCAAGAAATGCTAGACATATTTGTATTGCTCTTGAATGAGACTTCAATATATACTCATGCAACGAATGATAGACAAGAAAAAGGAAAGATGGCTGGTTACAAATCACCAAGAAAGTCATTGGTCATGGGTCCATCCCACACTTTCCCCCCACGGGGGCGACTGATCATCTCCAGAAAGTGGAGCCTAGGGGCTCTTATAAGCATCGGATGACGGCATTCCGTGAAGCTGAGTTGGTCTATGTATTCTAGTACTAACATGCATTATTCACGCCCTGAAAATATGGTTAAGCAACAGTCATAAGTCAATACGGATAATTTTCCCCACTTTGTTCATAACAAGTGTTTTCCCGTGAACGCCCATGATGCCAGAGAAGAACTGGCCCAAATGCATCCAACAGATCTATTCATCGACGAATGCACAAAACGGTAAAGGTATAATTGCAAGAAGACACGGAAATTTGGCCTTTACTGGGCCGCGCATTGAGCCGGCTCACCCTCATCATCATCATCTTCCCATGCAGAGCCGCCGTGAGCGTCCTTGGCACCGAATTCATCCAGATCACCCTTGGGATCATAGTCGACTTCGTCTACAGTGTCAGCCTGAATCGGGGCGTCGGGCTTGGGCAGAATCTCCTTGAGCTTCTCCAGGACCTCGGGACTAGGCTTCCAGTTCTGGTCTGGGAACTTGACGTTGACGACCAGGTACAGGTCGCCGCGTTCGTCGCCGCGCTTCATGGGCATACCCTCTCCAGGAACCTTAAGGACCTGTCCTGGGGACAGAACATCGCCCGGCTTCTTGGGGTGTTGCAGTTCAATACCCCGGCCGTCGAGGTGCTTGACCACAACTCGAGAAAAGCCTGTCAAGGCTTCAGCCACTGTAACATCAATGGTAGCGGTCAAATCTGATCCAGCCCTTCTGAAAACAGGATGGTCTTCTTCCACGATATGGAACACGATATCACCGGGCTCTTGTCCTGGTACTTGATCGGCTTCACCCTCAAGAATGATTTTATCTCCTTCTCTGCATATAGTTTAGCGCCTGACTTGGTCCTTTTAATGGTTTGAATAGCTCACCTTGCTCCCCGAGGAATGTAGATCTCCAGAATCTTCCTCTCCTCCGTTGTCTTCTTTCCTTTACACTTCTTACACTTGTCCTTGGGGCTAAAGAATTCACCCTCTCCATTGCAGGTTGAGCACGGCACAGTGGAAGTGGTAAGAAACTGTCCCATCTGGTTCAAGACCTGCTTGACACCTGTACATGTCATTTGTCAGCCTTCCAATATTCGTCTGCACTAAGCGTTTATCTTCCATACCTTGTCCGCCGCAAGTAGCACACTTTTTGGCCTGCGCTTTCTCCTTGCCTCCCTTGCCCTGACACAAACTGCAGATTACGTTCTTCGTACTCGCAAACTTGACAGTCTTGCCCTTGTACAGATCTTCCATCTTGACTTCATACTTTTGTTCCTCGTTCGGGCTTCTCCGTGGTTTATTCGCGCGCGGGCCTCCAGGCATACCACCCATTCCAGGCATACCGCCCATGCCACCCATACCACCGAACATCTGCGCCAGGATATCATCTAGGTCGGGGCCTGCGCCCATACCGGGCTCTCCAGACCCGTTGAAAGCGCCCATTCCATGTGTGTCATATAGATGACGCTTGTCTTCATCGTAGAGGATATCGTAAGCTTCCTGGACGGCCTTGAATTTGATCTCGGCTTCTTCACGTTCGGCCTCGGGGACTTTGTCGGGGTGACTTGCGAGCGCAGCCTATCGTTGGTTTGGTATGTGAGTAGTTATCGAGTGTGATCAGATTTAAGGTGCAGTACCTTGCGATAAGCCTTGCGGATCTCATCTTTGCTTGCGCTGTTGGCAATTCCGAGGACCTCTAATTAAAGGAAGTGTTAGCCATTTTCCCGATACCTTCGCGCGATGCAAGCATGTAGAATTAAGGTATATACCATAGAGGTCAACTTCAGCTTGAGACACTGTGTTTGGAGTAGGTCAGCAAAGCCAGCAATAAAAGGCTGAGGGGGGGCGATCACATACTTTGAGCGGCTATGGACAGGGTCCCCGACTGTTGGATAAAAATGAGACTGAACCGAACACAAACAGAAGGTGAAAGACAAATGAATTATATCTCTGAGAAAACAGTATCTCAAGAGACTCCTAAAGAAAGATAAAGGACGGCAAAGGCAAGCCCGGAAGTTGTTTGTTGATTGTAAGCGGTAAATGGATTACACTGATAAAATTAATAAAATTCAGTCCGCCTTTAACTTTACTTTTTTCCCCAGTCGGAGTCTCGCCGCAAACCTCCGATGGTTCATAGGTACACTTCGCCATCCAACCATTCACCATCGCTCTTGCCCTGAATATCTCCGCATAATTGGGCCCTCTTTCGCGACTATGAGGCGTCCCCATCCCGGGCTTCTTGCCCGTCGTCCGTGGATCTGCACCCAGTGCAGCAGAGCACGCTACTCCTCGGTTGCGTCAAGCAAGACTGTACGCGCCGGTAACAAAAAGACGAATTTGCCTGATTTCCCCGCGAGAACCCGATTCGCACCGTCGCCAACCGGATATCTTCACCTAGGGTCCCTGCGGACGGCATTGTTCAACTATCTGTTGGCTAAGCGGACGGGAGGACAGTTTCTGCTACGAATTGAAGATACCGACCAGGTGCGGCGTTAGAACACATTATCGGTCGATCGCGAAGGCTGATGGGCGAATGGATATAGAAACGCACTATCCCCGATGCTGAACAGAGGCTCTATGAGGATCTCCAATGGGCTGGACTGCAATGGGATGAAGGTTGGCATTTGTTCGGGAACACAAAGTTGCTCGGAGGTTGACGTGCAGTTTATAGGTCCTAATGTCGGCGGTCCCTACGGTCCGTATAGACAGGTGAGGCTCTCCAATGCGCTTATCGATCGATTCCCAAAAAAGAAAAAAGCTATACTAAGTTGTTTGTCTGCAGTCCGAGAGAACAGCCATCTATCGCACCCACGCTCATGATCTGATAAACAATGGACACGCATACCGATGCTTCTGCTCTGCGGATCGACTCGATGCGTTTGCTAGACATCGCAGTCAAGCCGGATTACCCCCCGGTTACGATAGAAAATGCGCGGAGATATCGGCCGAGGAATCTGAAGACAGGGCGGCGAAGGGAGAGACGCATGTGGTTCGGCTGAAGGTGGAGGGATATCCCATGTTCGAGGACATCGTCTATGGGAAGACTGGCCAGAATCGCTCGCCGAACAAGCTGGACTTGATTGATCGGGTGTACGACGACCCTATTTTGATCAAATCGGACGGACACCCGACCTATCATCTCGCCAACGTGGTTGATGATCATCTCATGAAGATTACCCATGTCATTCGAGGCACTGTGAGTTTCTAAAGACTATAGTGAAAGTGACTTTCTAACCTACCCGGATTACAGGAATGGATGCCCTCTACCCCTCTGCATGTCGCTCTATACAATGCTTTTAAGTGGACGCCGCCTCGCTTCGGCCATGTGCCTCTCCTTGTGGACAAGTCTGGCCAGAAGCTTAGCAAGCGGAATGCCGACATTGATCTTACCTTCTTCAAAGATACGCAGGGAGTGTTCGCCGCTACCCTGGTAAACTTTGCCGCTTTGTTAGGCTGGTCTCACACTCAAAAGTCAGACATCTTCAGCCTTGAGGAGCTGGAGCAAATAGTATGTCTGGCACTTTGTTTAAGTTCTTAATGCACTACAGAACAGGGATTGACTCAGTTTTTAGTTTAACCTCAAAATCACCAAAGGTAACACCGTTGTTGCCTTTGAGAAGCTTTGGTTCTTGCAGAAGGCACACGCACAGCGCTTTGCCACGAGCGGTGGTAGCGAGTTTGAAGAGATGGTTTCCAGAGTTTCTAGGGCTGTGGAGGAGACATGTCCTTCGCAACAACTGTACGGCCTTTTCCCTTTCAACTTCATTATACCTGAGTCTGACCCGTAAACTATAGCGAACCGATCCTTCAATCTCGCTCGCTAGCGGAGTATCTCCCTCCTCTCCTCCGTGCAGACGCCAAATCCTATACGAATGCATCGGATTTTGTTCAGCGCAACTCTACCTTCTTCGCTACTACTCTTAATAGACCTCCGTATAGCCCGGCTGCCTCCGCCAGCAAGTCACCACCCCAAGCCGTTCCCATGACCACCCTCCACACAGCAGCTGCAGCCCTCAGCCTTGTTCCAGAAGCCCACTGGACCATTGAAACCCACAAATTCAACATCACCTCCTACGATGGCGCCTACGCCATCCTCCCTGAAGAATCAGACGCAGGCGCTTACGGATCAACCGAGGAAGCGGAAAAGGCCCGAGTCGCTGCCGACAAAACCTTCAAGAAGGAACTCTACCACTATCTACGATGGGCATTGTCTGCCTCCGCACCGGGGCCGGGTATCCCTGAAACTATGGTGATTCTTGGTCGTGCCGAGTCTCTGCGACGACTTCAGGAGGCGCGGCAGATGACTATGAACTTGGTGAATGAGTCCGCCGGTCCAACTAGGGTGGCGAAGGGCGCCCAGTCTAGTGAAAATCAGGACACAACCTGGATGGGTTCACTTGCTCCTAAGTCATAATTCCCATCTTTGAACGATTCATCGGATCTGGTGTATACTATATGTACAATTCTTTGCTCTGACGTGAATTACTGTAAATTAAGTCAATCAAATGAAGGACCTACCTCATTTCATGTCGATAACCAGTCTATATCTTCACACGATTTAATCCACGCTTTCTCTTCTCAACTCCCCCAACCTTCTTACTTTGATCCTGCTATCTTGCCCTTCAAACCATACGTTCAATATAAATCAAACCTACAGAACATCAGAATCTCAAGTTATCCAGATGGTTCATATATTAGGATCCTACAGAATCGATAGCCCTATAACAGACGAGAGACCCTCTGTAGCGGTCAACCCTACCCTGGAAACTGATCAACGCGGAAGACTTCACCGGGGGAACTTGCACATATATTTCCACATCTCCTCTGGAAAGCGGTATCTTTATTACCATGTCGAACAGAACTCTAAACAAGGCCCCTGTCATAGACAGAATCCTTCAAGGACCAAAGACAGGGTGGCAAGGTTAGGGCATGTGCTGAAACATACCCTCTTAGCCCATCTAGAGTATTCATTCCCCTTCTCGTGCATCTAGCCAGAAAGTGATGTAGCTAACACTATTTAGAAACCATCAAGAGCACAGAAGATTGAAGCGTACATGGTGGTCTTACATAGTCGACCAATACCTATATTTCTTGCTGGGCAAGCCATTCAGTGGCCTTTTACCCTGGTTTTCATCACAACCAAGGGTTTTTGGCAGGGGTAAGCTTTCCAGTTGTCATGTACCATTTACCTTATATCTAATCCTCTAAAAGTTTGCCTATGCACGGGAGCAGCAGCAGCCAGCCAGCCAAGAAAAGAACTAAACTAAGTAAATGTCTTACTGTAAGACTATCTTACTGCAAGACCCATGATCGGGGAGTGGCGCTTCATCCTCCCAAGGGCTATGTGTACCTCTGTGGCAGTTTCACGAGATCAAAGATCTTGAGAAAAACATACCACTCCAACGCAAACAATGCGGATAGCTGGACACCCCGCTTACATTTCCATCGGACAAGGAGGAATGGAATAAGAAAGTGCAGGAAAGCAAGCTGACGAGAACCGCGAACTTTGCCAGAAGCCTCCGTACACAACGGGACTATACAGGCTGCATAATGGATACACCTTCCACTTCTATCCTGGACAAGATAAACCCACTGATAAGAAGGTATAAGACCCCTGGTACGGCATGGCATTCCTCCCTTACTACATGTTGCTCGTCCCCACTCCAGCATTATTTGAGGTATGGGTAACATGCAGCCCTCCTGTCCCACAGCAGTATTTAGTATGCTGTTCCCAATCGAATATATTAATATAACTAGTAGTCATCGAACTGGGTCAGCTTTCTGAACGCTAGTGAATCGCCATGCAGGCCGAGGAAGAGCTCGATGATTTGCTGTCTGTCCTTCTCTGTCTGTTGAGACGATTGGAGGTAGCCGGTTTTACCCCCGGTACAATAGAGGCCATGCTGAGGCTGTGTTTTATAAGTGCGAGGGCCACCCTATCCTCATCACATCCGGTCTCATACTACTATATCTCGCATCCTGGCTCTAGATACAAGTCTTCCTCCACTATAGGGAAGGGCATGTCCCTAACACTCCCACAACTCAAAATGACCAATATGTATGATCTTATCAACGCAGTACTGACCGAGATAGCTTCCAGCGTCGCTCTTCTACCACGGGCCCCAGCCCCGCTTGGGCTGCTACCTCGGGGTGATTAGGATCTGCCGTCGCGATCCCAGGATTGCCACTGTGGACAGGAGCGGAGACCCTGTCCACCCGCGAGAGGCAGTGGATGTGGGTGCCGGTTTTGCAGACTCCCACTTACAGTGGTTTAGTGCCGGTGTCACACCTCGGGGTATCCTCGATTTCATGAGATGTGCTGAAGAAGCCAGTGAACCCCCCTAACTTCTAGGAACCGGTTGCAATACAGCCGGGAAACACTCTTCTCCGACTGAACCTGTAGCAAAAGACGCTTAACGTTAACGATGAGGACACCTCGAGCTCCGCGTGGTTCTAATACCCAGTCGGTAAAACGAGTGGAAAAGAGAGGGTGGTCTGGCAACGCTATTCGTCCTTATATTGCAATCGAAACCAATACATTGAAGTTCCTTAGGGTTGATACAACGGCTAAGTTGGATAATTGGTTAATCTATAAGGGCGAAATTTGGTGTCGCTACCCTGGTTGTGTACACCGAGTTCAGTTCATTCTGTTTACAAGTCACCATAGTATACTTATCGTAACCTTCCGGGCTGTCAAAATCCAAAAAGGCCAGACTCAGGCGGTCCCAACGGGCCAGGAACAACATATGAATGTACTTGTTACTTGAAGAGACATTTTCAAGCTAATATAACTCTAGGGAGAGAAGGGAAAGGCGAGGGAAAGGGATGAGAAACAACTACAAGTTGAGACCGCGATCAAAAAAATGAACTTAGAGTAGGGATACCGGTGGGTACCCAGATGATACAAGTCGAGAGAAGTTGTGATTGTTGAGATATGGATGCGACCTGGCGGATGGAGAGATCTCCTATCTGTGCCTTCCAGGCAGCTTCTATGGGAAATTGAGGAATACGACTTTTAAACGAATAAGTCTCACCAGCAAGCTGATCTCAAATGGCCACTTCCTGATGATCTCGCAGCAATGTCTAAACACTATCTAGATGGAATAGACACTTATGACAACAAGAGGACGGTGGCGCTTGGCAACATAGAATAAATGCCCCACGGGTGTACAAATTTAACGGTCCTTTCAGCAGTATTCCCGCTTTGGTCTGCACTTATGCTCCTTTATTATATCCTTGAACTTGCTCCAGCACCTTCAATGAGGTCATTGCTTCTCTTTCCATCTGGGAGTATCTTGTTACGGCTTAACTCTCACAGGCCCTATGTAGAGAATGGGTTCAATCCGCCATACTAAAAGAATTGTGATTGGTGTGGACTACGGCACACTATGTCAAAAGTTTGAAATCGTCCTCTTGACCGCCCTACATACCGCCATATTTCACCTTTCCAAACTCAGTGCTGGAACCTCTCCTACGTAAATATAATTAGGAAGGTGGTTAGGCCAGGCAATAAGTAGACACCCCACTGTATGTGCCGTCATTCCGCCAAGTTGGGACTTCTCGAGCCTCCACACAGATAGTTGAATACATCTGTGAATCTTATTGCAACCAAAAGAAATTCTCATGCTTTTGCCACTGGCCATTGTGTTCCATACTATAGTAATTAGCACCAATCACAAGCCCTTGTAGCTCAGTGGGAGAGCGCATCACTCGTAGCCTGAGGCATCCATTGGAAGCCTTGGAAGTTGACATGATGAGGTCCGCGGTTCAATCCCGCGCGGGGGCAAGTTCCTTTTTTTGTCTTTTTCTACTTTTTGAAGTTGTTTTCGCAATATCTTCATATATTGATGATGATAGTCCGTCCCAGTTGTATGTTACATTAATCAATTAGAGTTTTCAGAGTTTTATAGAAAGGACCATTGTAACACCTTCCCTTCTTGTCGCAGCTCCCTTTACATGTGACATATGTTCCATTAAAACCTGACACTCAACATGGTACTCCGAAGGATATGATTGGATCTAGGAAATTGTATTGCTGCGTCGGAAACGATAAAATATATTAATAATTACCCGACCTTACTTCCCAATGGCAACGAACAACCTATCACCGATATCACCTAAGCCAGGAACAATCATGCCTCGTTCATTGCATTTTTCGTCCACCGCCCCTGTCCAGAACTCTACTCCCCCAGGCCAAGAATCTACAGCTCGACGAATGCCCGTCTCGGAGCCCAGTACACTCAGCATCACCACTCGCTTCACACCCCACTCACGCAGAAGATGAATCGCCGCTTCGGCCGTAGCGCCGGTGGCGACGATGGGGTCAAGAAGGATAGCTGTGTCAGCGGCGGCGGTGTTGGAGTCAGAGCCATCCTGGCGTTGGTAGGGGAGATTATTGTAGTATTCGACAGGTTGAAGGGTGAACTTCTCGCGGAAGAGACCTAGATGGTAGATGGGAACCGGGGCGGGGAGCAGGTTGTTGATTGCTACATAGTTGTGCGAATAGTCAGAATTGGGGCCTTCAAGGCGAGTCAGACAACGTACCCTCGGTCATGCCCAGTCCAGATCGAAGAATGGGCACCATGGCGACATTGGCGGGCTCAATATCTTGGGTATCATATTCGATACCTAACGGGGTTTGATCCTGGAAAGTGGATCAACGTTCGTCGATCCGATACGATCAGGGGTGATCAATCCTTACCGTTCCCCGCTTTGTAGTTTTTAATACTGTTGAGAAGGCCTCCACACCGAGAATGGTCGTGATCTCATGGACAAGGTTCCTTGTTTCGCGGGTGGAGGTTTTATGGGACCGTAGCTGGGATATCTTGGCTTGTAGGCACGGGTGGGATGAGATATGGACATTCGGGGGAAGAGACATCGCGGTTGGGGTACTGTGGAATATCGTATGGTTCTAGAAGTCGTAAGAAAAGAGAGAGATAATGAAATGGGAGCTTGTGAGGGGGGAGAGAAGCAAGAAATATATACACATCACAGAAGTGAGGGGTCGGGGTGTGTCGTGTCACCTGCTCAGGTACTTACTGTACGGTATGTATGGACATGTACCTTGATGTCAGCGTACCTTTCTTTTTCTCCGCTTAGAATTCCAAGTCTCTCTTCCTTCCCTTGTCATTCATTCTCTCCCTTCGATTTTCTGCTTTCTTTATCTCCACCTCCAGCCCCTCTCAGTGTCGTTTATCGGGAACTGATAAGCTATCAACAATCACTTATCAGCTGTCTATCAACAACTAAACCATTGTTTATCCACTAAGACTCCACATACTACCATGACCCACTCTCTCCGTCCAATCTTCACTCCTCCCTGGCTGACTTTTCACAGCTCCTAATTTTCCTTCCCAGCAGTACCCTTCGTTATAGAGATTATGTGAATCATATCGCGCATTGTCATTCGCCATGCAATCCACAAGTGCCATGCCTGCCAGCGACACCGAACAGCTGCCTGAAACCCAAGCGCCACCTCCCACCACCGAGGAAGCTTCGCAGCGCCAAGCCTGGTCATCCGAAGGATATGGGCTGCCTCCCACCAGTGACAAGCCTCCTTACGGCCCCGTTGAACCAACGCCCTCACGAAGGGAACCTGTCGCAAGACCCGTCTCCAAACATGCTACGCAGCTTTTCACCCTTTCATACCTGGTCTTCTTCGCCATTTTCGGCACTTTGGCGCGTCTCGGTCTCCAAGCCCTGACCATCTACCCGGGGGCGCCCGTGGTAACAGGCGTCCTCTGGGCCAACGTAGGAGGATCGCTACTAATGGGCTTCTTCCTCGAGGACAAGAACCTCTTCCGCGAAGAATGGGGTAGTGTGAACCCAAACAACAACAATACCACGGGAACCGACCCGAGCGCCGAATCGAAACGTCACAAGTCTGTTAAAAAGACAATCCCATTATACATCGGCCTAACAACCGGCTTCTGTGGCTGCTTCACCTCCTTCTCGAGCTTCATCCGTGACATCTTCCTCGCGCTATCCAACGACCTGTCGGACCCCTCAGCCCCCAATGGCGGATACAGCTTCATGGCTCTGGTAGCTGTCATCCTGACCACAGTCGCGCTCAGTCTCAGCGCGCTCATCTTTGGTGCCCATCTCGCGCTCGCGCTCGATCCCGTAACCCCCTCCTTCCCCTTCCGCTTCACGCGCCGATTCATAGACCCCCTCTTCATCATCCTCGGCTGGGGATGCTGGCTGGGGGCCGTCTTCCTCGCAATCTGGCCTCCGGATCGCCATGACAATGGACCAGAGTTCTGGCGTGGTCGCGCAGTGTTCGCTGTCGTTTTCGCACCGCTCGGCTGCTTTCTGCGTTACTATGTTTCTCTCGTGTTGAATGCCCGACTCCCCTCCTTCCCGCTAGGTACGTTCGCCGTGAACATCCTCGGAACTATCATCCTTGCCATGTGCTATGACTTGCAGCATGTTGATGGCATCGGGGCCTCCTCGCTTGGCTCTGGGGCTAGTTCGTCGATACTCACAAGCTGCCAGGTGCTTGCTGGTGTTATGGATGGGTTCTGCGGTTCAGCAACTACAATTAGTACGTGGGTGGCTGAATTGAATGGGCTGAGTCGGCGACGACATGCCTATTTCTACGGGATTATTAGTATTGGGGTTGCGCTGGGATTTTTTGTAATTATTACGGGTTCCTTGAGGTGGACGAGGGGGTTCGTAGAGCCCGTTTGTAAGTGATGTTAGCCGTGTGTATTCTATAGCGTTTTAGAGATGTATAGGAAGATAAACTATTATTAGTTAATGATAAAATAGATGCTACCATGAAATAATACTACTGCTACTGTTTACTGTGTAATAGCAATTAGACTCCCCGCTCAAACAAATTGTATTTTGTGCTAGAATTACTTATAGTACAGGGTACTACAACGCAAAACCATGTGCAAGCCAACAAAAAATAATACGAAATAAACATTGTAAATATAAAGATAAGCAATGAACAATCTTCAAGAACGGAATATCAAAGCAGGCAAAACAGTTGCGTCAAACAGAACACGTCAAAAAAATATGAGGGGGGTGAGATAAAACGCAAGCATTAACGGCGGGGACGGCATAAACACATAAACTCAGAACGAATCTAAATCACATACATTAAGGCAAAAGCTCAAAAGGAGGTAAAAATAGTAAACCAAAGTATATGAAAACGAGTGACTCGAAGAGAAACTTTAAAGTGGTAAGATGAATATATAACGGACAAGGTATCAAATGATCAGGGGACAAATCGACTGGCAAATTGACCAAACACGCTGATGCGTAGAAGAGAAGCACTAAGGATTAAGAGTGTAATGATGAGTATCAAGAAAACAACAACTCCACCGAGTGCTAAAGTGAAGAACACACAGGACCAGCCGGGTGTCGAGATGTTGCCTTGGGAAACTGCCCGTAAAAACAAAAAAATGACCACACCGGACTCCTGTGAGCTCTTGCAAAAACCAACAGGAATGACCATAAACAACGCAAAGACGTAACGAAAATGATTAACAATGAACAAACGTCAGTCAGGAGACACCAGCAAGAAGCATTATGCGGCGGTTCAGATCATAGCATTCCATAACCGGAAATCAAACTTCGCCGCCCAGGTTCTTGCACCTCCATCCCGACCCGAAAAATCCGAGATTCCGCCAGTGTCCAAATGCCCAGGAAACGAGAGGAAGAAAAAGTGAAAACGTGCATTGATGAATGGGACCCGAGTCAGAGTGAGGGCATCAAGAGTGAAACCCAGCTCCGAGGGCCAAAAAGAGCATAACGGCGATAAAAAAGGTCAACGATAGTGTGAATTTCGAAGCCGACGTACTCATAGCCTAGTACGCCGTGCCCACACTAGCAAGTGTCTTCGTTGGCATTGGGTGAATAGGTTGGTCCTTGGCGACGCGCAACGAGTCTTCGTAGCCGACCAAGGCCTGCGAGTGAAGTTTGAACGATTCGCCCATGAGCTTGGTAATTCTGAGACGTTGTCAGTAACTTAGCTTTGATATTGCATGCTGAACGGGTCCAAACTTACCCCCATACTACCACTCCGTCTAGGATGTTACCCCATACACGGGCCACAGTGGAGCTGAGTTTACCAAAGGCATCGACGGCGTCATCATCGAACAGATTCCGGACTTTGTTGTAGATGGCCATCTCAGCCTCAGTCGCGGGCTCCTCGTCATGTTCCAGGCGATAGAGCCAGAGACTCAAGATGACCATCAGGTCCAAGCCACAGAGCGGATGCTCGACACTCCAGTTGGTGGCAGATGTCTTCGCAACCCAGTTAATCCCCTGGACGGCAGCAATCTCGATGCATTCGAAGCAGGACTGGATGACCTTGTTCATCTCCTGGGAACGCTTCACCTTTTCACGAGCAACTGTCATAGCAGCAGCCACTTCATAAGACGAGTGGTACCGCAAGGCCTCCTGGATCGACTTAAGGTCAACCTCCAACCGAGCGCGCGTGTTGCGGTAAACAGCCATAGAGTTGAAGATTAATGGATGGCCTTTCTGAGGAGTGCTGAGCGGCACCACGATCGTCTCTGGCTCACAAACCTCAAGAGAATTCTCCCATGTTTCGAGTGCGAGACGGAGCTTATATTCAGTCACAACGTCTTGGAGAGCCTCGAAGCTCCGCTTGTGGTTCCAAACCTGTAAGAATAGAGCGTTGATCAAGACACGAGTCGCAAAAGCACTGTACCGAACTTGTTCGCCTTGGAAGAGGCAGTCGTGGGCTTCCCGCACTGTGAGGGTAGTGGTCGAAGCCAGGCTACGGCGCCATGCCTCATCATCCGTGACATCAAGGTTCCACAGCGATTCTGACGATGGAAGCTCTAAATTATCGAATTCGTCGAAGCTCATTGCGGGAGTGTGGTTGAAGGTCAGCGTAAGCATGCCAAAAAAGATGTAGACCGCGTAGTAGGTACGACGGCATGACTCGTCTTCAATCCACTCTTCCCGGGTGGGCTTGGCGCCCTCGCGAGCCTCAGTACGAAGCTTCAGTTGATACCGGTTACCAGCAACCATGTTGGCGAGCAAGCTCTTGATGGAACATGTCCATTCAAGACCTTTCGGGTCGCCGCTCCAACTCTCAAAGATCATATTCAGCAGGCTGCTTTGCATAGCCCACAACGGGCATTTTCTCGAATCGAAGTTGTCCTTGTGTTGCAGAAACTGCGTAACCAACATCTTTGAACCAACATGGAGCATGAATGCGTGCTGACGCTCAAATGTGTACAGGGCGCCAATCGATAGTACGGCTAGCAACAGCGGAGGCGAGGTGTTCGTAGGCTTGAAAGACTCCTGATGCAGGAAGGGCAAATGATGGTGATACAAATTGAAATACGTCGACAGATACTTGTTCAAGGCTGCCGTCGATGGAAGCTGGAAACTATCGGGAAGCGATCCAAGCGCGTCGGCATTCCTGATACGTTCTACGATCATATTCCGCTCAATTTCATTTGCGATCTGAGGAGCCTTGGGGAGTGTCAGGGCTTGGCTGGGTCCAGGAGACTTCCGGTAGTTCACCGGGCTAACAGGCCCTGTCATCGAGGGATATGGTGACAAGGCGTTTGGAGTAGAGTTTCCAGACACCGGTAACGAGTTGACAAGCGAGTGAAGCGAAGGAGCAAGCGCATCACCAACCGGTCCATGCCGCTCCATGCTCGACGATAGTGTATGCGAGTCTGGGCCATTGTCTTGGGTCATAAAGTGTTTCGTGTCAACGGGAGAGACCAGGGTGTCCCAAGGCATTTGGGGCAACGTCGCGTTGCCCGACAAATAGGATACAGAGGGTTCTAGTAGCGGACCGCGTCCGGGTGAGAAAGAGCGATCCGATTCAGCACGATCATTAACCTGACTGGTAGCTGCGGCTGCGGCCTTATGTTGGAAATCTGTCATCAACATGGCTGCAGTTTCAAGGTCGACCATACCGTCACTGCTTGCCTCAATTTGTTCCAACGTAGCAGGGTCAATTGTAATTGAAGGCTTGGGGGGAGCAGGTGCAGGGGAGGACTTCTGAACACCTGCGCCGCCACGTCGGCGGCCCTCGGAAACAAGTGGAATCCCACCATCCTTGGCGTGAACAGTACGGTCATGGCGAAGAAGGAGATCTCGGCGAACAAAGGTACTCCGACATTTTAGGCACTTGAAGGGCCTCTCTTTTGTGTCTGTTCGAGCAACACGTCAGCATCGTCCGTGCTCCAATAATACCATTTCTTCACGATTGAAAACTGAAAATCGCGTCCGGAAGTCATATTACAAACGCGACCAAGCCCCGCATGGTATCAACTATGTAGAAGGCCTGGCTGTGAGGATATAAGAGTAGGTGTGACTTACGGGAACGTTCATGTCTGCTGCGATGTTCACTTCTGCTAAAAGCGCGATTGCAAAATTGGCACTTGTATTTCTTCTCTGGTGCGGATGTCTTCTTGGCCGGCGAATTGCTGGCCGTGTTCGATGCGGATGGAGCCATTTCTTAGAGACGGTGCAGCGAAAGGCGACCACAGATCTTCTCAGCAAAACGATTGTTCGGAAGATTGCGATATCGTCCCTTTTGTGACTTCACACCTGTTCTGAAAGCGAGATAATGACAAGAAGTCTGTGAGTTGTCTGATCATTCCTTGGGCGGGGAAAACACTGAAGCACACGATGATATCGGAAGGGGGTCCAGCCACAGGCGGACCGAGGGGGAGGAAAACGAAGCCGTGGCTTACAAGCCAGGAGGGGAAAACGGAATCAAAGGAATCGCAAATAATAAACAGGTCGGTCGTAAGTGTATGTAGAAAAGAAAAGAAGAGGAAAAGAGGAGGGGGGGAGGGTGGAAGAGGAGAGAAGAGGGAAAGTGGTAAGGAAAAAGAGAGAAGAAAAGAAGAGGAGGAGGGGGAAATATGGATGGATGAGGAGAAAGTGAGTTTAGGGAAGTTCTGGTTGAAGGGGAAGGGGAGCGAGGGGGTGGGTATTGAGAAGTGAGTGTGAGAAAAGTCGCGCCAGGACGTGGGCACAAGCCGATGGCAGATTTGGGGCGATCGTTGAATCGCGACAGTGAGGCGGTCGTGTCCAGTGTCGGTGTTGGCGATTTGGGCGGCGAGAAAGCACAACAACAAGGAAAGTGGGAGCAGAGGCACTGGCCAGGAAAAGAGGGGCTTCCGGGCGGGACTCACGGAGGGGGAACAAGCGAACAGACTGTCTCCGAAACCTCCACGCACTGGGTCCCTTAACACCACCGCTAATTCCACCGATAGCCAATCAACACTCTTGTTGCCCCTTCTGACTAACTGGATCACGAAACTAAACGCAACCTGGTTAGTACACGTCCTTCCGTACTCCGTCCCATACGACTAAATACAGCTTGCATACAGGACCAAAGTATACATCCAAACAAAGCACATCAACCAGCCCACCGCAGCCCACATGGACTGCTGTAAGTTCAAACCCGTCAACCCGGGTCAACCGGGGGTCTAGAAAGACTTGTTCATTCCGCCGTTTTGTTAGTCCTCAGAGTTTCTCCCATTTTCTTTTTTGAATGTGAGGGACCTACATATCCACTTTGCACTACCCATGTACACTGACTCCATTTTGCACATAACACAACGCATTGGGCCCCAAAAAGTTGAGGTGGAAAAATAAATTAAAAATTAAAAATCATATACCGCCGTCTTCATCAAGATCTGATTATCATTTTCACCACCTATCCTATTTTATTCTGCACATGCATAGCATTGGGCAGCACCGACATGACATTCATCAAAGCATCTCATGGAATGAATCTGTCATTCCTTACTTATTGGGAGGTTTAAGC